TAACTTTTAAAGCATATTCTGTAGTACTTATCAAAAATCTGGCTATCAATGATTATTATATATTGTCCTAACATTAACTTTCTGTTTCTGCCTTTGTGTATTGAAATTTTACAACTTTTAAAAACGAAACAGTTTACATAGACATGTGACTTTTCTAATAGGTTTTTTGGTTTTTCGGTCACTATTACTTAGTGTTTGGGTTTATATTTAGTAGAATTGTATAGTAAATAATCAACGGAAATTGGGCTCAAGCCTAATCAATTTACAATTTTCCTGAACCTTTTTTGACTTCGTCTGGAAATAAGTGGTAGAAAGATCGAAATTCCATCCGAGTCACATCCAGAGAAAAGTCCACCAAGTTTAATCGCGCTCTAATCAGTGGATTTCCGAATATCCAAAGCCAAATCCAATTAAGAGTTGTTAATATAAGCAATATCTCTATAATTTTCTATACCTAATAATACTTAATAATACCTTAAATTTGTAAGAAAGAACTAACAAAAATCAATAGGTCTATTGTAGGAGGGGTATTATAGCGTGCAGTGGCACGCTTCGTCTCGGCTTATTGCACTCAAAACTTGTAATTAACTCGTCTAAGGGGAATTGGTATTGTCACCTTCCTCACCATAACGATCCTAATGAAATTATATATATCTTGTCATTATGAAAGGATATAGGAATAACGTATATACCTTTACTAGCTGTGGCACCGACTTCGTCCGCGTAGAATGTTATTCTGGGCAGCGAAATTTATTATTGCCTTACCAGTACTTACTGAGATTAGCGCGTTCAAACAAACAAACTTCTTCAGATTTATGGATTTGCTAAAAATATGAGCTATTTGAACTCGTAAAAAATGTATCAAGTTATTTGACCTAAACTTTTTTTAAACGTCCCTGTGTACTTTATTTATTCGTTTTTACTACTAGAATTTTATGTTCACAAAGATTTAAAAGTTATAGGTATTTGAAATAGATTCCAAAGTAGAACTACCACCCAAAAACAAATTTTTCATAGTGTTTTCTCTACCCGTATTGGTTAGACGTAGGGACGGGGTTCTCGGCTCTCAAGGATAGAGCAACTTTGTATAGAACTGTTTCTTTCTAATATTTAAGTATATATTATTTGACCGTCACTTTTTTTGTGGATGTAATATATAAATTACTAATAAAACTACTTTTTAAAGAATTTGTTTTATTATTTTATATTATTAAAATGAACCACCTAAGGACATGTCCCATGTCACGAACAGTTAACAAAACAATTGTAACGAATACATATTTATTTGCTTTGCCGATACCAACTTCAATATAAGCCTTAAATCCCACGAATTGCGGTATTAATTTCTCTCCGACGCGTCTCAGGCAACTCACTAAAACATTTTCGTCAATTGATTTTGGACTCTATTATCGAAACGTTAGAGTTTATTTTAGTTTCCCATAAAGCGATAAGAGTTGAAGTGGGTGGGAAGGTGAATTGAACTCTATTAGGTTGCATTAAAGTTTGTTTTTGGTTGTAGATGTGAGAGGATAGTGGGGTACATTGGACAACATGCACGTCGCGTGCGCGCCACGCGTTCTGTACGATAATCTTCTTTGGCTCTCTTTGTTACAATTTGTTGCCGCGATATCCCAACCCCTGAGATCGTCATCTCAGATATGATACGTAATGATATTTTAAATCAGTGTTCTGAGCTAGTCAGCGGAACAATCTGAGCTTAATATTGTCGGATATTGTTTGCTTTTTGAGTGATAAAGTTTAGTCTGTATTTCACAGCAGAAGTACTTAAATACTTTTATAATATAACCTCAATACGCTAAATTCCTTATTGTGTTATATTCAAATATATACTAAACAATAATACCTATAATGAATTTTAAGATCTTCTCATGACCACGGCTACTACAAAGTATCCGAAGCGTCGGGCCGAAGCTCAATCATTTTTAAATAAGTTTAACTAATATATCGCGTTTTAAATAAGTGTTTTATTTAAATGTGTACTACTCGCGTAAACTATAGACAGTACAATTTAATATTACGTATGACAAAAACCGCATTAGCTTCAGCCTACAATCGAGATTAAGAAGCAGCTATTTTTTAGCTCGGCAATTCACGATTATTAAAATAACCTATAAATACAAAGACCTAATAAAAAAATAAGTGTAACATTGTTTGGCTAATCAATTAAATTATAACATATTGTTTTACTTTAAAAAATCATTATGAAGTATATTTTAAAAATATATCTCTCACTAATAAAATGTAAATTTGTTAACTTTGTTATCGATTAAAAAAATATAATAAAAGACTTTTAACGCAACGCTGCAAAACACCAAAAACGTCGGGCTGTTGTAAAAAAAATAGAACCAAGTTAATTAATATTTTTCGTGTTTTAAACCGTTAAAAGTATTTTACTTAAATGTGTACTACTCGCGTAGTCGCTATAGCGACTTAGCGAGTAGTACAGAGCTAGCTGAGTTATAAGCCAATTCTAAGCCATTTCTAAACACAATGCAGATGCGAAAAAAATATCAGTTCTCGTTGACACTAACGTGACAAGAAAATATGACGATACAATAAAATAAAGTTGTCATCCCCAGCAAAAGTGCCGCGAGCGTGCTAAATGCATTAATTTGGCCTGGATTTAGTGGTCCGGAAGTGATTTGCAACGGGACGCATGCTCAGACACGATATGACCCTATGACAACCCTGACGTCAATTGACCCTCTCACCGCACACTTTTATTGTTAATTAAAATCGCACTTTAATGTTATGGGCATTAATCACACATTTGAGCGGCAAAACGACTCGTTTAGGGCCGTGTTTAGCAAGCTCGAGTGGTTCCGCTTTTTTAGTTAAGGGTCGTTAATATAAAGGTTCAACTGTAGTTTCAATCTTGTTTATTGTTAAGCTAAATAGTGTTTAGAAATTATTGTAAAGTATTGAATGAGATTATAAGAACTACTTTGAAGTCTAAATTGTGAATGTATGTGAAAAAAATATTTCAATAATATCATTTATTCAGGTAGATAACTACTACACCAGATAAAAACTAAAGACTTTAAATTTATATTTACTACCAGTTTTCAAATCAAGGGCGCAGAACGAACGAGAAGAATTGGCAATAAACTCGCGGCCACATCTTTTATCGCCTAGATTCATTTTACAGTCTTCACGTACTTTAAGTGTATCATAAGTTATTCTTTTAGAGTAATAAACGTTTCAAGAACAACAATAGTTACTAACTTACTTCTATATTATAAATATAGTATAAATAATTATATAAAAAGTGTTGCGACCCACATACAAATAAGTAAAGTCGAAACTTTATATGCGAACATCATTTTAATATAGTAAAGGTGACGTCACACTCGATCGATCCCTAGACGTTAATATATTCAATCTTAAGCACCCTTAAACGTAGATACGTAAACACGAAGCCCCGTACTCGATAAATACGAAGAGCGTCTATCTACCTGTTTATAGACACCTAAGAGCCCTCCCTCTGATAACTTAAAGACTTTATCCCCTGTACAGGAATTTTTACGGCAACAAAAGCCTTCATATTTTCTTTATTCGCGCCGTGTCAAAATCGCCCGCTCTCCCCATCCATTGAAAAAAGACGCTCAACTCTTTCGCACCTCTTACAACGCGATATCTTCGTCTCATTTCGCAAACCTTCCATTTGGGGGTTTTATGTTTTTCTCGATATTCTTGGCGGAGGTTCGGATGCTTCTTTTTCTCGGGACGTCAGCGACAGGATGATGGCGGCTTTTATTAATTAATTTATGTTAAGTATTGCGAGGGGTGTTAAGAATTTACCCGTTGCTTAAATTTGACTTAATGACTGTGTTATTTTCGCGTCATAATATCTTTTTTTACGCGTCGACTCTTTTTAGTGGCCGTTAAGATGCTGTAAAACTTACTTGTTGAGATAATGTTTTTATTTCATTTAAAACGTAATAAATTTTGTAAGTACCTACAGTAACAAAATAATTTTAGTTCTTATAAAAATTAAAATAATCATTTTTTACTATTATAAAAATAGTATGTAATCATAAAAAAAGATTCGCAAAGCAATAAAAACATCGTCTTCTTAACGTCAAATACATGCGTCTATACATAAATAATACCCCCTTGTCTATACGTACTTTAAATATCTACTGCAATATACATACAGCGTGTTCATAAAATCCATTTGAAAACGCCGAAGTTCGAAAATGGAATCGAAAAGCCATTGAAAGGACAAAATAAATTAATGAATCAACAGTCATAAGAAAATTAATACGAAATGTAATTATTAAGACAAACTTTAGCTTTTCTTTTCCTTTATAATATACACAGAGTGGTGTATATTATAAACACTTACGCGGTAAGAACGATTTGTTAGTTTTAACCGCGTTCACAACCAACGCGATATGTTGTCACAATTTAGAAATGTTAAAATTAAAATCTTGCTTCAAAACTACATCCTCTATAATAGGAGGCACCGTCTAAAGGCTGTCCCAGAAGGGAGCGAGCCGTATTCAAAAAAGGGAAAGACGAAGAAAAAAGTTATAACGTCATATTGTTTTGCTACGGGAGGCAGAGGGGGTGAGCTGGGGTAGATAAGGCGTTATGATATTCAACGCTATGTATAACTCTGTTTTATCGCGATATTTCAAATACTTCAGTACGAGTAATCTTCGTATATATAGATGCGCTATTAGAAATATTGTTTATAATATTATTAAAATAAAAGTCCGTTTACTAGCTTTGTTTGATAGAGGACCGACAAGATAGAAGAAGATGGATGGAAGGTAAATTACCCCACCATATAACATCTCATCACGATGCGCAGTCGTCCCATTTGGCTTTGGATATTCGGAAATCCGTAGACTGATACCGAAACGCGATTAAAATTCACGGCTTGTCCGTCTCTGGAAAATTAAATTTTGATATTCCTACCACCACTTATTCATTTACAGTAGTAGGAAAAAATAGTCTCGTGATATACAGCCTTAAATGTAAGTACTTACACTGGGTATATTATCTGAAGTGCAGACTCCTTCGCTCAGCAAACGGTCCCTTATCTCCCATGCGAAGATGGAGGGACATTCTCGTTTATACTGCGCTATCTTGCTGACTACCTCGGCGGTTGCTACGCGGGGCTTCGAACCCCCTATCGCGCGGGGTCGGATTGAGCCAGTCTCGTAATATCTGCAATGTTGGGGAATTTTCAATAATTGTTCACCTTAAAAACTAGCTGCAGGTTTGATTCCTATGGGATACACCATAACTTTTAGTCATTTTTTGACACTAAACATGTGAGTAGAATCGATGGACAAAATTCTGATTTTTTTTGTATAGAAAAGTTAGCGCGCTTTACTTATTTAACAAAAACAAAACATAACTTAAGCTTTGTTTAATTTAAAATACCATTTAACAGTTTAAAACGCGACACTCCGTTAAGTCGACTCATAGTAAGAATATATCTCGCGTTTTAAACCGTTTCAAATATTTTATTTAATGTTTAACACTTGCGTAAACTACAAACATGCTTAGTTAACTTTATTGTATGTTTATTTGACGAATATGTTAAGCATTTCGAATTAAAGACTACTAGGGGATGGCGGGGTCTAATATTAAGTTTCAACCCGTTTTGCGGGATATTTTCACTGTACACGAAACGTTATCCTACCTGACTATCAGCTGTCATCGATAGTTTTTTGTTGTTTTTTCAAATAAGCGTATGTAACTTTGAAGGCCTTTGTTATGGAATTTGTTAATAATTAATTAAAAATTGAAACAGGCTGACTTTTGTCAAAATCTACTAAAAACAAAATTAACAGACTACTGTTCTAATTGTACACAATAGAAAAAATACAGTTTTAACGGTTTAAAACGTGATTTATGTAAGTTAACTTATCTACAATTAATTAACCTCCACGTCTAATGCAGAGCATCCGGGGCCGTAGTAAAAATATATTGTGAATAATAACATTTCACGTTTTAAACCGCACTCTCGGAGACACGTGTGTTAAGACATTTACTACACTTTTAGCATAGGTATTTTTCTTACAAAAAAAAAACAAATATATAATAGATAGCATTTGGTGCAAAATAGGATTCGAATCCGGGCCTACTACTACTATCCGGTACCTCATGATCTTACATTAAGCTCGTACGTCAAGCGAGCACTTAAAAACTTAAAGTTTGAAATTTCAAACGAGACAAATCTTTAATTACACAATAACAACACTTCAGCCATTACTACACAACACATTCCGTTAAACCTCAAAGTTTCAACCGCAAAGTTAATAAAAATTAATATTCAATGTGTCATGAAAATAGACCAGCTCGGATTACGTGCTGTCACCCAAAACCTTCGTTTCCTTGGGACTTTACTGTCGAAAATCCGTTGCGTTTTTTTTGTGAATTATTAAATTAGGCGAGGTGTAGACATTAAATAAAACACGTTTAGAACCCGAAATACTTACATATATTCGTGTTGGACGTGAATGCTTTTCAATAGATATAAATAATAATATATGATTTTACATTTGAAAAAACATTAAAAATAAAAAGCCCAACGAAAAACAAATTTACAGGTCTAAGAAGTTGTTTTTTATATTTTATCAGTAAATAAAATTTGATACGATTACTCTTAAAAAGAAAAATGTTCCCGGTTAATTTAAAAAATAAGTTTATATAAATACAGGCTTATTTTTTCCATTGACAATTTATGAGACATGCCTGCAGATCTCGAGTTCCAGAGTTCGAATCCTGTGTCGTTCATGTCGACACTTAAATGGTGGCGACAATAATATAGTTTGTATAGGCCGCTACACACATTATGGTGCATTTAATTTCCTAGATAGATTATCCAACTGGAGCGACATCTCTTGAATGTTATTGAAAACTGTATTTTTCTAAACAAGTTTTAGCCCTGACTGAGATGCGGTCGCAACTATGACACTGCGGTTATGGCATAGACATAGTATTGATTACGCGACATTTTTCGGATAACTCGGTGTTGGGTTGCCCAAGCGTTACGCTGCGTTATGATAATTGTGGTTTGATCTTGCTTTACGATTGATTGAGTTATAATTCAAGGTGTTGTAATTGCTTGTGGCATAATTTCGGAGATACATATTTTACTGGTCGGCTAGTGGTCAGTAACTCTCTGGTCTAGTGGTAACTATACTAGTTACTACACTCGATTGAATATCACGAGATCCAGGGTATGACAATGGGAGATGCCATCGAAGAGCAGGTTAAACCGTCGGCCGGTAAGTTAAGGGGTCTTGGATTTACGTGTATTGTTACTGTTATATGTTATTTATTTCGATTCGAATCTATTTTTAAACAATATGAATGGAATATATTTTGTAAGTCAGGACTATGTTCATGTTATATACATTTAAAGAACCAACCTGCCGAGAATCTTGGACACACAGCCATTGGAGACCTGGAGTATCCTGCTGATGTCGCAGGGCCTCGCCCCCGAGTGCGCCAGTTCCACGATCTTCTGCCGCGTGGAGTCAGGTAGCGGTCTGCCTCCTACAAACACGCCGCCGAGCTGGTTAACACCGCTGTGACCTGTTCACCACAAGCCTGCTTACTCTAATTAATCACGTTTTTACGTCACAGACTCATAATGCAACAGGTATTCGCCACAGCAAGCGCACTTACGAGAAACGCGTACGAAGCGTTTATTGTAAGTTACTATGAAATATGTAAGGACGCGGTCTCCTATAAACGTGTTCATCGCGACGGCTTAATTCTATAATTAATTAGTAATTAAGTAGGTAATAATTAAGCAGTTACTTTTAATATTAGGTTACAGTGTGAGGTATACGTGGCATAAATAAACCGCTGCACGGTTTACATGCCCGGCTAATACATATATCATAAAAATAGATTAATCATAAAAAAAGGAATCTTTCGCGCATGTCAAAGTCAAAGTCAAAAATCATTTAGTCATGTAGGTAACTATGTACACTTATGAACGTCACAAAATTAAAGAGTCTAACTTTACATTTACTACCAGTTCTCAAATCAAAGGCGTAGAACGAACGAGAAGAACTGGCAATTATCTCGCCGTCACTCCTTTTATCGTCAAGTTTCATTTTACATTCTTTATGTACTTTTAGTGCACTACATATTTTTCCTTGTAAGAGCAGGTCCCTCCACACCCCAAGCATTTTTATCATTTCAATTTTGATTAACGTCATAATAACCCTTTTTTTTCAAGCAGTTTTTTGCATGATAATCAAAGAGTATTTCTTGCATTAGTCATAACTCACAGGACGCGACATCTTAGTTAAATAGGTACTAAGTATATGTTTTATATTGTTATATTTTCTTTTACTTATATATATAATATATGCCCGGCGAGTTAATAAAGAAATAAAAAAAAATCGTGACAGTATAACAAGATCGTTAGAGTGGAAAAGTCAGTCGCGATAGACCATAGTGGAAAAACTATCGCTGAATTCAAGTGATCTGAATTAGAGAGGTGAGGAGAACCGATCTACTGCGTTTATAGGAGACCGCAGCCTAACACTTACGAGAAACGCAGGTGATGCGTTTATTGTAAGCGATACTATGAAATGTATAGATAATAGGACACTTATTTCTAATGTGAATATGAAAATGTGAATTTTAACCTATATATCTATAAAAGGGTACACATCTTTTGTATTTCGTTTTTTTTATATCGAAAACATAGTAACTAAAACAAATTAGTTTTGTGTAAAACATAAAACACCCACTTTCGTTAGGTATTACTTTCGACTATGTAAAATATTTTGCAATTTGCCACAATCTTAAGACTGTTAGTCCTTCTTTGTCCATTTCATGTTTCTTTAATCTCTTATTAAACAATAATAACATTATTATTTAACATAACATATTTCATTCTTTAAACTTACTTTTTTATCTTGTATAGTTATAGATTTTACCAAACACTCTTTCCCTATTTATTTTGTGTTTATTTTATTCGTATCCAGTTATAGAAATATAATTGTTCATTTAAGTTATGTTTCTAATTTTAGTAAGTAAAATTACTTAAAGTTTTGTTTTATTCTTAAAGGAAGACACGTTGCATTGTTATTTTTTAGTTTTCAAGTCCATAGCAAAGTAGTACATTGCGAAATCTACTGTCTATAGCTTACGCGAGTAGTACACATTTAAAGAAAACACTTTAACGGTTTAAAACGCGATATATTAGTTAAACTTATTTGAAAAATGATTTTTAACTTCGGCGAGAGTTTCCCGTGACCACGGCTGCTGCAAAGCATCCGAAACGTCGGGCCGAAGTTAAAAATCATTTTCAAATAAGTTTAACTAATATATCGCGTTAAACCGTTAAAGTATTTTATTTAATTGCGAATCTTCTTATAGTAAAATGAAAAATTTAAAAAAAAGTATTACGATGAGTTATTTTTAATGTCCCTTTTGTCACGTCTCGTTTACAATTTGAGTGGCAAAAAACTAAGTGCCTATTGATGGGTTAAATAATGGTGGTCACCATTACCTTTACCTTTGTGCGCCAAGTCGTCCATCCTATCCAGGAGGTTGGTGTCAGGGGGCCATGGAGAGATCGGCGTAATCTGCTGCGCCGGCAGCATTGTGTAGACCCCGTATTCTTCAATGGTGATGCCCTAAAAACATCGCAAATTGTTTTTCTTATGATAAAGGAGCAGGATATTGGGAAATACCCAGACTGAAACTTCACGGTGTTTTCATCTGTTGACGTTTTTTGAACTCAGACCCCTTTAATTCCAGATTTCCAGACGAATTTGGACCCGATGGGGATTGAAACCACGACCCGTGCATTATTAGCTATACCCCTACCATTAGTCAAGCGAATATGGTGAATAATTAAACAAACGAAGTCTGTGCATCTAACTGACCATATTTAGTTATACCAATACCTATAGGTCGATTTGTCATTAAATAACATAACTAGGTATGTATGTACTAAATTAAAAAGCAATTATAAATTGAATAATTTACAACACGGGTAGGGCAAAAATGTTTTCAATTTATAATTTATTAAGTGCCATCATGTGACATAATGCACATGGTAACACTATATAAATTGAAAATAATTTTAATTAATATTATATTTTTATGTTCGTACTTTCAAATTGACGATGTAATTATCCGTTACGTTTTTTCTTTTACTCAATGTTTAAGTTGTATTTATTAGACATTTTACCATTACAATACAACATATAACTGAACCGAACTGGTAAAGAAATAAGAAGTAAGCCTCCTTGAAGTAAGCAATACTTTTTTCAACGAATCCATTCAATTTCTATTGACACATTGTCATATTTGAGTTTTATTCAAATTGTTAAGTTTTAAGACGAAATAGTGTATATAAATAAGATAAGTAAACATAAAATTAAGAAACGTAAGTTAAAAATTTAACGACTGCCTTTAAGAAACCTTTTTGTATCATACACCGGTTGAATTTTTTTATTATTTCGGCATATATAATATTAATATTTTTTTAAACGTTGAAAGAGGTTTAATAATTATTACTGGAAGCAGTATTGTAACTGGAAGTATATTGAAAAATTATTTCAAAGTTTAAGACAATGCCTCTGTGGTTCTAGGTTACTAGTTGTAACAACAATATTTGTGTTTCCTAGCCTTCTTGATGAACAAAAATTTGGTATAACAGAGTTATTTATGGATTACCTGCAGTTAACGATGTAATACATTGAAATTAAAACACTTGTGACGGATTAAAACATGAAAAATATTAATTGTGACGCAACTTAATGCATTACATAACAAATCATCCATAACATCGCATAAATAAAGACATACAAGTATTTATATTTAAGGATTGTATTATGTTGCGCTAATTGAGTTGATTACGAGTATTAATTTCCATGATCACTATTATAAGGTGGTAAGTAGTAGCAAACTATTCACTATGTTTTCCCGGATTCGAAAAGTTGAGACTATCGCAACACGGGAAAACCCAAAATCAATAGAGTACAAAGCTGTTAATTTTATACAAGTACTCAGCGAAGGAATTAAGCGGTCCTTTAAAATATAATTGTTTAATTCATACTTTCAACAGTCCAATAGGAGAAATTCTAGCAGAGCCTAGCGAACGCTGAGTCATGAAAATATCGATAATGAAATTAAAATTCATTGTTGCATTCACTCGGAAACTATCTAATTATTCAAACGTTTCTGCAATGATGTAGCGAGAAATATGATTGTAAAATACATTCCGTTTGTGATATTAATAATTCTTCATGAAAATGTAACGTCTAGCGCACCAAATGGATTGTCGGATAAGATGATTAATGAGTTATACAAGAAGTATAGACAAGCCGTTGCCAACGGTAAGTAAATGACTGTCATTAAATATGATTGTTCGAGCAATCGAGGAGCTAACATCTGATGATGCCGTTCGCTCGTGGTGGCGAAACGTCAAGAGCCTCTTCTCGCTCGCGTCGGCCGAACTGCCCGAAAAACAATGATATGCTGAACGCTGGCCGTGAAAGTCTTACACAATTTATTTCTTAAATAAAAAAAAAGACGTTACCCAGCGTACACGGCGTTGTAAGAGAGAATTTCCGAGTTCGAATCCATTCGAATTAATTACTTACTTGTAAATAGTTTAACTGCATTAAATAGAGCGACAGCACGGAAAGGGGATACCAGAGGATACCGGTTCAAGTCTTGCTCGAGTTAAATTAAAAAAACAAATCAAAAATCGATTTTTAATTTACAAAAGTTTTTCTTTACGGCAAGCAGACGATGTTACTTATATGCAATGGTAAATTAAGGAAGCAAATTAAATTAGCTAACTGTTAGACAAACCTAGTAGGTAACTTATTAAAAGTTTGTTTGTTTCAAAACAATTTATATCAAGTTTAGATATTTTGCAACTTCTAATATCTATATATCAAAGTTTAAGTTAAAGTATTTCCTGTTCTTATAAACAATGTATTTTAAAACAGATGCTGATTTGGTGATACTAAGACGCCAATACGATCGTAACCGTCAATTCGAAATTCATATAAAGAAATTGAAAGAAGTAAACGGTTTTAAACAACACAACCTCATGATTAAAGGACAAGTCAGGTCGGATAATCCATTTATATATATTAATAATCCGGTTGAATCAAAGATACCTCATGCGTATTTAACGCTCGAAGAGTTCAAAGAAGCTCTCACTAAGAGAGTCCAAAAACAGAGAAGTCAATTGACCACAAAAAGACGTTATCCAGTTTTGCTTACTAAGAAGCCAAACAGACAGTTAAAGGTACTGGTTAGTGGTTTAAAAGCAACCAGTCCAGACGTAAAGAATAATTTGAAACCAGACGAAAATATTACATATAATTCGGTAAGCAGTATTAATTCTACAGTTTCTCAAAGCAAGTCAGAAATTACTACGCAACATATAGCAAACGCAACAGAAACTAATGTGAATAATGTGATATCTGGGGTGACTGATAAAGAAGATATCGTTAAATCAGCTGATGCTACTAGAAAAGATAATTTTAGTACAAATATTATTACTACAGCAAAATTAGAAGAGTTAATATTTTTGAGAGCTCAGTCGGCTGAAAATTCGACTGTGTCGGAAAATTACACTAATCTCAACACAAGTGACTTTGAGAATACAAATGAAACAGACAATGGTAATACAACAAAGGAATATAATACAGAAACGATTATTAATGATACAACTCTAGAAGTTCATACGAAAGAAATAACTATAGATACAGATAAAGAAGGTATAAATCAAAGAAGTAAAGCAATTACTACTTTAACAGGCGAAGAAGGAACTATTTATGAAAATATAAGTACTAACACAACAGAGGGGACCAATTTAAATGAATTTAGAGTTTACACTTCAAGTATGAATCCAATAACAAAGAATTTACAGTCCATTGAAGTATCTAAATGGATTATTAATAATGATGAAAGCAAAAAGTTAACCTTTCAAAGAGACATCTCGATTAAAACAACAACTAAAATGTCTTTAGATACGATAAAATATATTCCAAAGCGATTAGTTCGGAATACGGAAATAATATCATTTGACAAAACACCGTGGCGGAAGAGAACTCCCAATAAGAAAGTAACAAAACGAAAACCCAGCAGTACAAAGCGATCCACATTAGGGGTAAGCAGATCACATACTATGTTAGGTGTATTTAAAAGCGCTTTTGTATGTTCGCATATGTATACATAATCTGTTAACAAGTGATAACCAAACTTCGGAAGTGCTCAAAAACTTTTATTTTATTATACTATAATACTTATTTTCAAATGTTCTTTAAAATGAATATGTATGTAGCTATGAGTAACTACTTGGCTTTGAATTTAAGAATATTTCATTAACTCTTAAAGCTAGAGTTTGACTAGTATATATTTTCTTTTTTCCAGAGACCTCTCGTCTTCATCGGGGGCCTTTGACACTGAAGCATACGATCCTTACCTTTACTACTTCTTAGGAAAATCCTCGTTATTGCTCTCGCAACAACTGCTTTAAATTAACTGCGACTAATCATTTCACTTAACGGCGACACTTAAGGCCGCGAACAGAGCCTCCGGATTCCCGCCAAACAAATGTCAAACTGTCAAACGCGCGGACATTGTACTTGTAGTTCAGAATAAAGACGCCACTTCACTGATTACAAAACACAATCTCACGTGGAACCAGGACCGTGTGCGCTTATACCTTTATAGAAATGAAGGGCTGAAACAGCTCGATTCGACGTAGCCATAAGCGAAAGGGACAACAACACAGATTGAGCTCCCATTGTAAGTCACTTACTTACTTAGGACTGCTCATTTGCGAGACAGAGACGCGCGTACGGCCAGACGTGCCTCTGTTTTATTTTCGCCCCGCCCTACTCTCTTTTATTCCCAAGTGGTGGGGAGAAGTTGGACAGTTTTAAATTATCTATTATAATAAAATTATTTCGTGTAATAAGGGGTTGGTTTTGTTAATGTGTTTCATTTGTGTCTTTGTCACAACGCCGTTTTAATCAATAATTTGAACACTGATTTCGCATCTAGTAATCAAATGTAAAACATCTAAGTTAACTGACTTATTTTAGCACGTAAAGAGATGGTATTACCGTTAAAATACGACGAAAGTATAAAGCCATACTCTTATTTTGTAAAAAAACTAGAAATAAACAGTTGGAGAATAAATATTGTAACGTTAAAGACTTTTATTCGAATTTACGAAATTATTTCGGCATATAGTAACATATCGTAAGTAATCGCCGTAAAGGTTATTTTCAGAACTATGCACCATATAACTTAACACCTGAATATAGGAAAAAGAACACTTTCCGTCCCGCTCTGAAAACAGCACTGTTTGTAATGCAAGGTCTCGGCGCGATTTTGAATCAACTCTCCTAAGAATTAAAGTTGGTTTTCACTTAAGCGATAGAATAAAATGGCCTGTCAACATTTGCGGTCGTATTTTGGTTTATCTCCCCCGCACAACAGTTAGTCACACAAATATTATCTGTGACCAATGGCATGTTAGCGTGAGCCATTTTCGGCCAATCAAGCGGTCGAAAGTTTTGCCGTTAAACTTTAACCCTTTTGTTTTCTTTGCTCATTCGAAAGCTCGTGCTGGCAACGGATTGTAGATGCACTTTTTGACAGTTAAGATACCGAGATTATCTGTGGACTATACTATAGGTTTAAACACTGTCTGTATTACGTGAGTAGTACGCACGTAAGTATGAAATAGTTTAACGGTATAAAACACGAATGATATTAGTTTCGGATGCTTTGCAGCGGCCGTGGTCGCGGCGAAACGTCGGGTCGTCGAGTTTAAATAATTTAAAAAAAAAGTTTAACGTATATGTTTCGCATTTTAAACAGTTAATGTTTTATTGAAATAAAGGTACGGTAAGGTAGGTAGGTGAAATAAAGGTCAACCTAAGACCGTACGAAACTTATTGGGTTTGACCATTTTGTAGATCTCGAAAATTATTTCTTTTTTATACTTATTTAAAATGAATGTTTAAAATCATTTTTCAAATAATTTTAACTAATATATCGCGTTTTAAACCGTTAGAGTGTTTTATTTAAATTTATAACTATTCTGAAATATGTTGCACTTTGTCTAGAAAACTGGATATTAAATGAGTGGTAGGAACATCGACATTTCGTCCGAGTACGAACCACCGTCCACAGATGAAAGTCTTCAAGTTTAATCGTGTTTCAGTCTATGGATTTCCAAATATCCAAACCGACCAAACAGGTCGACAGTGCATCTTGCTTAGATGTTTAGTATTTCACCGCCATCGAGTGAACTCATTGCGTTTATCCTCCGTTATTAAAAAAATAATTAAGCTACAATAATACCTAGTAAGATGGTTAAATGATTAAAAAATATACATTCTTTTCGTATGAACTATTCTTATCTGTTAACTAGATAAATTTGCAACGCACTGTGCAACCACTGACTGCACTTCCTACAACTGCGAATCTAATGTTATTTACATTAATTATACCCTATTATAAAGCCGTACACGGATGTATACTGTTTAAATAGATAAGGGAATTGCACAAGGATCTCTATCATATTCAACAGTAAATAGAAAACCTTTGAAATGGCCGAAAAATAGTGTTTTCCGATATATTTCCGGTAGGTATAAGAATCCGACCGCTTCTCTAGCTAAATCGTTAAACGTATTGTCTAGGCGAATCCCGGGGAAACAATAGATTGGCGAGAGGTGCATGTATCGATAAGTTGAAAAAATTCGACGATGAGGTGTAGGACTCGGTAGCTCAATTGGTAGAGCGACAGCACGGAACGCTGACGATGCCGGTTCTAGTCCTGCCCGAATCTAAATTTTTTCAATTTATATTTGATTTTTAAATTATTTTCGATTTTTATACAATAGATTGTTTCGGTCGGGCAAGGCACGGAAGTCTGATCAACAACTTGCCTATAAATAAAAGCGATCAGTGAAACGGACACAGAAATGGGACGAACGCTATGCTATGGGAAAAGGGGATTTCATTCACGGATAAGAATACAAATGTAATTATTTATGTCTTTACTTATATTTAAATAAAACATTTTAACGGTTTATAACGCGATATATTAGTTAAACTTATTTGAAAATGATTTTTAACTTCGACCCGACGTTTCGGATGCTTCGCAGCACCCGTTACCACGGCTGCTGTGAAGCATCGGAAACGTCTAACTAATATAAACCGTTAAAGTGTTTTATTTAAATGTGTACTACTCGCGTAAACTATAGACAGTATTTACTTATATTTCATTGAAATGTTGATTTTTGTATAGGACGTGAAAAAAATATACAAACATCAACATTTCAATGGAATATATATTATTTATGTATAATTCTTATAATTTACGTTAATGTCGCCGTAGCGCGCCATAACAAAACAAGGTATTATTTTTTTCTCAGGAAATTGAATCTGAAGACTTCTTTCCCTTCTCGTGTAACCATTGAGCTGGTAGTTTGTTGTTCTTGGTACATGTTAGTTTACAAATGATCAAAGGTAAAGTTGAAGAAATTCTTGGTTGCTGCTGTTTCATACAATCTTTTCGCGAGGCTCCTTTTGACACTAGGTTTGTATTACAAAATGTAGCTTCTTAATATTTAACTTGCTATACCCACATTCTTTATTTTATGTATTACGAGTTATTAAAAGCATCATAAATGGTAAGGTTTGTAAAATTTGGTATTCTACTAACCATGATGGCTAATGAGTGTCGACACATTCGTACTTCTAGTTATTTTTCAGAGCATTGACGTTTGGTAGTATGAAATTTAGGTAGCAGTAACTGTAATTTTTTGAACTTCAGCCCTAATTTCAAATAGGACTGTGGGTTGAAACTCGTATTTATTATAGTCGTGTATGGTATGGAAAAAACACTTCTTGACGCGAAAACTGTTCCGACGACGCCATCTTTATTGTAAAAATACCTCCATAATTAAGTTCCACCTTCCCATTATTTTCTGAAAAATGTTAGCTTTCTAATACTAACTATATTATTTTTCACTTAGTTTAGTTTTAAAATTTGTTAAAAGGTTTTTGTTTAGTCTTCTAAAGTACCAATACTATTTTGAAATTATATTATACATTTCGTAATATACTTTTTCCATCTCTCATTGTTCTATAAAAATGCAAATGTAGGGGGGGGGGGGGGGGGGGGGGGGGGGGGGGCCCCCCCCCCCCCCCCCCCCCCCCGCGGGGGCCCCCGGGGGGGGGGAAACCCCAATTGTGGGTTCATCCTCTTTATATTTTGGGGAAGTGGGAGGGCCCATTCGAAAAATTTGCCACGGGCCTCGAACGTAAGTTTTTAGTAGCTATTAATACCATTTTCTATTAGGAAAATGAAACCCACCATGCTGCCCCAATGCGGGCTGGGGGACATCAACGATCATCACTAAATTAGAATAATAATTTGTACAAATAGAGGTAGACATAAGACCGACTAAGATTCCAACTTTGTCTTTAAACGTATCGCACGCATAAAATATTATGTGAATATTTGTTTTGTCAACAGCGCCATCCACTATCTTTAAGTTTGTCGATTGTCCCGACATCTATAAGAAAAAATAAATGTAGAACAAGAAACAAATGAGTCAGGTTTTATATGAAGTATAAGAGAGGGCGCTATGCACAGAAATAGGGTAACAATTCGGGAGGGCATACTAGTGCTTTAAATTTGTGAATAGTTTTATAAATATTCAATAGATGGCGTTTATTATGAGAATATAAAAAATATAATTTCCTAATTTTAATAGGGCAACCGTTTCGATAATTCGTTTTTAAATGATTATGAGTAAAGGAAAAACAAAGGATAAATACAATATTTTTATGACAAGATATAATTTGTTTAGAACTACTTGTAAATAGAATTATTTGTGTAAAAATATACTTTTTTTACGAATATTACCTCTCATTTACGTGTTAGTATAATTAAACAATCTATTCGTTATAGATTTCATTTTTTTTGAAAAAACAAAATTGAGGAGAAACAAGGAAGCTGCTAAAGTGTATTTTGCACAAGATCGTATTTCGTAGCAGTTTCGTAGCAATGGCATATAACAATTTTGATTACTATCAAAATTGTTATACACATGTAGCACACCTTTATATAAAACACTTTTAACGGATTAAAATCCGAAATATAGTAGTTACTTATTTTAAATGTAATTAAATTACCGTTCCGACGTTTCGAATACTTTGGAGCAGTTACGGCCCCCTCGAGACCACGTTGAAAATAATGAATATATTTTGCGTTTTAAACCGTTAAAAGTGTTTTATTAAAATTTAAAAACTCTTAAGGATCAACATAAATCACATTGCAATCAGTCAAGTAAATGAGTTGTCAAATTTTAATATTAAATTTTAAAAATTACATGACCATGTAATCATTGGGTAGAAGAAGCGGGTTCTTTTATATTAAAAATAGCAACACCGATATTGTCTTCCTCCAATGTTGACTTATATCGGATTTGTGAAAAAGTCACATATCGTGATTAGCGAGGTCGGCTAACAGATTGTTTGGATACACAAAATGAATAATGTATGCGGCAACTGGCAACACTCAGCAAATCGTGAGTGAGTGCTCTACGTGACGATATTAACCACGCACTTAAGACTTTGACGAACATTTCTCGAATTTAATTTACATTTTCTATGGCACAGTCAAGGGCAGTGCTTTTTTTAGAACCTCGCGGCAATATCAACAAGTAAACAATAAGTTATAACTCGATAGTAGGTAGGTACTAATAGTTAACGTGGTATGAAAAATAAATAAATCTTTAAAAAGCAATGAAATTTTGATAAAACTTTGGAATTGAAATGGAAATCTTTAATATTTAAATAAAACACTTTAACTGTTTAAAACGTGATATATTAGTTAAAATTTATTTAAAAATGATTTTTAACTTCGGCCCGACGTTTCCCCGTGACCACGGCTGCTGCAAATCATCCGAAATATAAATATATATGCACGCAATTTAGTTATAAGTTATATGTTTGTAAATATCTTAAAATGGCAATAAAAGTTTTGAATTTGAACCACGATTACACTGGACGCCATTGCATCTGTGGATATTTCAAACCTTTTTTATCAGTAGACGGTGGTTCAAGACCTGGGCGGAATTTTAATATTCCACCTATTTAATGTACAGTTTCAGAACAATTATAGATTAATTAGAAAAATGTTTTTTACCATTAAACAAACGAGCCAATCAACTCATTTTTATAGAAAGGCGAGTATAAAGGTTGATTAACATGATCTCATAAGTTAAGATGCACATCTAATCCTTATCTACGCCTTAGATAAGCAACATATACTAATATTAAACTATGATTAGTCCTCACAGCAGGTAACCAATTTGCATAATTTAATGAATCCAAGATTAACTAAATGAAGTTCTTAACGTGCTAATGTTTACACGGTAAATGAGATTCAAAAGAAAGCCGTAAAAAATATAGCTTGCAGATATACAGCAAGTAGAGTAGGGCGCATATTAATTAGTATTTTTTCATTTAATCCCTGAAAGGAAACTCTATTCCTATATTTATTTGTGACGCAAAGGTGCTACCTAATTTTGCTATCGAAACCTCAATAGTTGGCATGTCATACCACAATTTTTGATTTGTCTCACTCGACTCATTTAGCGTTTCACGTGCACTTAAATCTATAGTTATATATAAAGCTGAAGAGTTTGTTTATTTTGTATGTTTGAACGTGCTAGTCTAAGGAACTACTAGTTCGAATTGAAGAATTATTTGGTTGTGTTGGTTAGAGGATTTATCGAGGTAGGCTATAACTTTGCGCCATGACTAGTAGTAGTAGTTTTGTGTTCTCCTTCAATTTACAAACAAAGGACTCGTAATAATAGAAAAAAAATATGTATCGACATAAAAGTCATTATGCGTACTAATGATTGCTACTTGGTATAAATCCTTAAAACAAGCTATATAATCAAATCCCAGTACCCTGACATAGATTTTATTCAGGTTTCGACCATCCAGAATAAAGCTTTGAATTCCAGCTGTATTAAAAATTCACTTCTTTCGTCCCGTTTAATTTTAAATTATGGTTGTTGCTTCATTGTTTCGTTGCTCAGTTATTTTTTATAACTATCACGTCATTTGTATGTTTGTTATGTTAGATAAATTTTACTATAGAGACGTACGATGAGGTATGCAAAATCTTTACTTTTTTATTTGGGATCACATTAAAAAAATCTTTAAATTACACAGTGTATTAGTTAATTCTATAAGGAGTATATAGATCTGTATAATAAGTTGCGCTGTGAAGTATAAAATCGTCCACTAATATCTTTAAAAAAATATTATAATTGCATATAAGATTTTATTTTTTTTTTTGGTTATATGTCATTGTTTGTTAAATTTAAATTCCGAAGCATGTAAACTCTTTAAAATTTACGTATTAGTCTTGAGCAATCAAATCTTTAAACCGATGGGTAGTGACCAATGATGAATTTTACAATTTGATTAAAAAACGTCCATTCCAAATAATATTTTCCGAAAAATAGAAATTATTATACATATGTTTAAAGTAATTTTTTATTGTATATTTATTTTATCAAGTATTTAACGATACTAATCCCTTTTTGATTAAATTAAGCCATTAATATATCGATAGTGGTTGGTGTAAATCCGTACTGAAAATAGTCGCGGATGCTGTGTAAATGAATTAACTGAAACCGCGAACGTGCTGCCCAGATACAAACGTCAGTGGTTCCCAAAATGTGCTTGAATCTAGTAAAATAAAGAATAATTTTACTATTTAAGTTTGTTTTTATTAGCTCCTTATATTGTCTGTTTTATGGAGCGACTAAACTTATTTAGTTAAATTTGGTTTTTAAATTATTTCATGTATCTAGTGAAATACAGCGGTAAAAGAAATAAATGAAGTTTGGAGTTTGAAGAAGTTCAACTATTAAAAATAATTTAACGAATTATAGTATTAAAAGAATAATTTTGCTAAGTAATGTTCAGAAGGACCAAATCTGTCAAAAAGGGTTAAACGTTTAGCCTTATATTGCGTTAAGCGCAAGAGTTCGAAAGCCGAGAAAACAAACGGACAGAAAAATATGTTCACGGTAGCGGGATTTCACTTTTCTGTATTTATTTATTTATTAAACAGATTTTAAGAGAAAACGTCCACCTTTATATGTAATGGACTTTTAAAATAATAAAACTTTTAGCCATAAAACCTAAAGTTTGACCTGGTATTTAATAAAAAACCCAATGATCCCATTAAGCTGGCGTCGTTTTAAATGACAGTTTGAGATGCGCTGAAGCGCGGGCGTTTCGTCCTATATAAGTGTGTTTCAGGACGAAACAGCATTCAGTGGCAACAGGTGAATCGTAGAGGTAAGTGGCCTCCTAAATAGAAGTTACGCTTGAAAGTTGCAGACCGTATCTTAACGTAGAAATGTTATAATAAACAGTTTTAAAATTCAAAATATAAAATACGGAAGATAACATTTTTAAGTGTTCCAGTGTTATAACTGCAGTCTCTTTAATAACGTTGGCTTAATAATAAATAATATTTTAAATAATAGTGTTCCTTTTTAATATATTATTAATTAAAGGAAAATTTAACAACAAAAATAAATGGAATTCGAAGCAATCTAGATTGAACGTTTGGTCATACAAACTTTCTTAAAGTTCTAAATTGTGTGGTTATTATTGTTTACAATGCTTTGAATTATTATAGTGTTCAATTCTGTTTTTCCCACTATGAATTGAAATACTGCTGTGTTCGTAAAAATAAAATATGTATACATAGTTTCAACTTATGGTTTTCGCTTTAATTTTTATTGAGTAGCGAGATAAGTGATTCCTTCTTATTATTTTTATTACAAAATATGTATAATATATAAAATATAAAAAAAATGTAACTTGTAAATGTTTTTTTCAAATTTCAGCTTTAATTGCGATATTCTATTACAAATAGTCCCTGCTACTTTAAAGGTTAATAAAATTATCCCTAATACTACATGTTAACTCAATCTCTGGAGATACATTAATAGTAAAATCTCAGTTATATCAGCCAATTTTGTGATCTATGCCCGTAGGCGACGAGATTATGATTTTGCCCAACGGTTCTTAGTAATTCGTAACGCAAACAGAATTACAAATTGCTACATTTAGGTAACTTAATTTTGCTTCTTACGACCTTTTATTTTTGTTGCCTTTTTCATATACAGCTTTAGAAGACGTTTGTTAATGTTTAATATTAAATAAGACTATATTAGACAATTAATTGTTAAATATTTACTATATATTGCACGAAATAACTAAAAGACTAAAGATAAAGTAGAAACCTCACTTATAGCATGAATTAAATACAAAAAGTGAAATCTGTTGATTAATACCCTGTCTCCTATAGTTCGTAGCACTTCGTAGCACGTGGTAGCTTCGTAGGTAATCGTAGCTGCCTACGTGCGTAGCTCATTAAATAATGCTTGTTGGGAGGCCATTTTAAAACCTCATATGTACCCCTTTCCGACCGCGGCAAAGTTGGAACCATGATTTTTTTATAAGCTACGCCGCTCCATTTAAAATCAAACAGCCTTTACCAGTGAATTAATATAATAAGCAAGAAGTTCCAAACATGTTTTATAGAATTGCGTTAAGCGCGAGATGTTCTGAGTTGGAATCACGGGAAAGCGATAAATTGTTTCGTTAAATCATAGCTTAGAAGTATAACTACTTCTAAGCTATGATGTAGTTGTGTTGATGGTTGTCTGTGAGAAATATTAAATCAGTAAAACGGATACATAAATATGTTATACAACATGCATAGCTGAATCAATAAATATATTAATGTATTATTATTTGAATGATTGAAACTTAATATTTTTCTGTTCAATCTTTAAAAAAATTGTATTAAAAAAAATATTAGGAAAACGGGAAATTCATAAATTTTAATTCTATCCAGACTACCAAATCCGAAGCATCAATATTACGAAAAATATCTTTAATATGTATAAGATAAACTGAAATAATAAACTAATTATTATTGTACAGGAAAAATGCAGTCCTCAGCAAAATTTACGATTTCCATGTTCCTGATAGCCACAGCAGTCGCAACTTCACGTAAGTAAATTTTCTACTTATAAATGCATAATTAAAAATTTACTAACAATAATATCGTGGTTAATAACAATATCGTGGCCAATCGTTCTACGCTACGCATCTGTAATATTGGATCGTAGATCGTGGAGTCATACTACTTATTTCGTAGTTTACGCGAGTTGTAAACATTTAAATAAAAAACTTTAACGGTTTAAAACGTGATATATTTTAGTTAAACTTGTTTGAAAATAATTTATTTACGGCCCGACGTCTTGGATGCTTTGCAGCAGCCGGTCACGGGGAGATGTAATTAAAAATAATTTTCAAACAAGTTTAACTAAAATATATCGCGGCTTAAACCGTTAAAGTGTTTTATATGAACATAAAAAAAGTTTTATTTAATGAGCACTACTTGCCAAAAATATTGTCAAATGTAGTTTATTGAAATCAGTTGTGTAATCGAAGTTATTCTCTATTATTGTCCTATATTCATAATATGAGTTATTGAAAAAAATAATTTAAAAATATCAATCAATTTGACTAGAATTTTACCTTTAAAGCAAGTTAATTACTTAAACATGTCTATGAACTGCCTTTAACAGTATTAAGCAAACATTGATTTTTCTATATCATCCAGTTAATATAAACATTGAAGTCAACTAATATCCGCCGGAAGTTCGTATAACTTAGTTAAGCGTCCTATGCACTTTAGTGGCTCCTATAGTTAAGTTATAACTTAGCATATATGTATTGAATTACTTGTATACAATAAGAGCGATTAAACTAATATCTGAGTCTAAGTAAGCGTTGGTTAAGTTTATTTATTTTATATAGTTTATAGTAATTACTACTACTATAGGAAGCAAAATCGTGGGTTTATTTATCACACAATGTGGAATATATGATCTTGGCGTATTTTATTAAAGACATTTGCTTTAACTTATGCCCCAAAGTACTGCTACCACAAGTAAGTAGACAGTGGCTCTATTCACATTTTACAGTACATATTAAAAAATATTTAATATACTGTACGTATATATCTACTTTATGAGCAAGTACTAATACAGTATATAAACTTAAGATATAACGAAGATATTAAAACCCCTAATACCCACAAAATTACAGATTCACCACAGATCTTTGTAGGCTTCCGGTACAGCAAAAGATCGAATTTATATTCAGATACATTCCAGCGGAAGCCGTACAACGGATCCGTAATCCAGCCTCAGAAATAATTATCAATAGATAAATCAAGAAACTTTGCATGTAACACAATACTCCGAACGTACAAAGTTAACACCAACGCGTTTTAACAAAATATTACGAAACTTCGTTCATTAAGTAGATAGCTAGATATTGTCTTTGAGAATTTGAAAATCATTATCCATTGATGGTTAGTCGCGGGGAAAATTCATCAGACCTAAAAATTTACGCACACCATTTTCTATAGAATTCAAAATTTACACCACTGCCACAAGTTTCAAACGGTGTAAATTTGTTTTTTCAAAATCCTAACAATTATCTTAAATAGCTAAAACAAATAAACTGTTTTGTACGCCATATTGGTGTAGAAGTATAGAATACTATGGTGATAGTCTTTTATTTTAAAGAGAAGACTATGAAAATTAAAAAAATATGTATTCAAAAAGCCAATTATATTGTTAAATCTATTATATAATATAAACTAGAGTAACTTCTTTTCATCACAGCTAAAAACAATTTTCAACCCTATATTTTTAAGAAGATAAAATTTAAAACTTCCTTGCTTACATGCTTGCTGTCATGGGTGTCATGTCCGAGTGTGTCACGACTTTTCATACCGAAACACGATTAAACTTGACGGGTTTTCTTTCATCTGTGGACGGTGGTTTGTGAATTTCGATGTTTGTACCACCCAGTTAATATCCAGATTATGACCTTGTTACAGTATTCCTAGAATATCTTGAAGCTTACCTCAATCTCGTTAAATATAAGCCAAGTATAAAAATGCTGGCTTGCGGATGATTAAAATTTATTTAGACCGCAATATTATTTCTCGGCAGCAATTAAACGTTATTTAAAACTGTCTTGGAACAGGAAAAGTAGACAGAAGTTATATACATTATTTAGTTTATGTAAATTCTCAAAACAAAATATCATAAAACTGTGGGTTTCTGAAAAAGTAAGAACCGACATTTTGGTTTTTGGTTAACCCTCGTTTAACCCCGTTTGATCAACGAGGGTTAAAGATATAATTTTTGTCAGTTTCAATCATTATTCAATTTATTTACACGCAAGTACCTAGATGATCTGACCACTTCGCTTTTCCCCGGTATTCAAAGCAATCTTAGATATTGCATTTAACTATAGAGCCATGGGGGTAGTCTAGAAGCAAGTTGGCAATATTTTGCAATTACTAGAGAAATAAAATCTTTACTTACGTAAAATTTCTGTTAGTCCACCTCAGTAGAAAAAAATGGAGTTTAATTTCAAATGTACCTCACCAGTACCTAAATAGTGTTACTGATTCTCAACAGAAATTAGGTATGTATATGTTTAGTATTTCAATCCATAATTCTTAGTTATACATCAAACAAAAGTTTTGGTCGCAAAGAAAATGAACTCGAAAGTAGAAAAAAACAAAAAAAGAAGAATAAACAAACAAAAGAAGACGAGCTTGGGTTTCCCCATTATTATGGACGATCGATTCTGTCTGCAGTTTTTGCGTTGCCCAGTGCCCTAATGACTTGGGAATTAATTACTGCAAGGAGGGGGATCCCACTCTCCCTGCGGTCTCAGGGTAAAACTGGACATCAATGTTTCTTAATTTAATTGTTTTTGTGTTTATGTACAAATCCTTCAATTAGCGCACAGGTTGTACTCATTTTGTAATTGCAAAATCTATACTAATATTTAAGCTGAAAACTTTGTTTGTTTGTATGTGCTAATCTCAGGAACTACGGGTTTGAATAGAAAAATTATTCTTGTAGCGGTTAGAATATTTACCGAGGAAGTCTATAGGCAATAAAACATCGCCCTGTGGCTAATACAAGCGAAGGTTTCTGAGGCGTGTGTTTCTGTTAAAACAATTCAAGATACCCAAAAAATGCCGCAATATAACAATCTTTTAAGATTAACTTGCAAAAACGACGGGGAGGGGCGCGACCGACGTCGTGGTCAACAGCTTAAGTTTATAAATATGAAGGGATTTTCAAAAACGAATCTGAATGAACAAAATAACGATTATCGCGGTCGAAGTCGCTGGCATAGCTAGTCATATAGTATTTTACTAGTTAAGTGCCAGTCGGTTTGAAACCTGGGAAAAACATATCAGTTGAAAATATAGAATATTACCTGTAAATAAAAATCGATCAAAAACATAGATTCAGGTACCTAAAGAGATCGGAATTTCATTTTTAATTTTTTAATCGGTCCCAAACAGTAGTACTCAAATATTTATATTTAGTACAGTATTTTTTGCAGTTAATTTCGTCGTTCATGATTTATTTTTAGTTCCCGAGAAGATATTGATAGTATACTAGAAAAATCAAGACGAGATCACTGCGTTTTAAATTTTTTTCATTAAGTACTTTAACTTTGTACTGCAGTTTATTTAAAATTTGAGTAGGTCTGATGATGAACATGAATTCCATAGACTGTCCCTCAAAATTTACTTGGCACTACTTCAAAATGATACAAAATTAACCAAATAGTTTGTATTTAACCAGATCGAAGGTCCTATTAGTTACTTACTTAGTAAATATTGTCCTTGCATTTTAATTCACTGTTTGTAGTCGGTTATTTTTCTAAAATTCTTATTTGTATATGTATGTTATATTTTTCTTTTTATTTTTTATATGCGATTATATTTCTTTACTAACAATATGTTTTCCTATTATTCGAGTATTTTACTCAGTGATGTGGATTATTTTCAAGTCCTTAATCTCTACGTGAAAACTTTTGTCATCAAATGGAGTTTTGAACACAAACATTTACATGATAGAGACGGTGCCTTAGCAATTAAAGTTTGCAGTAAGATTGTATTAAGTTACATTAACTACGTATTATTATGAATAAAAGTGTATCCAATATTTCTTGCTTGTATATCATCTACAAATTTCTCTTTTTTTTAGATAGCGGAACGAAACTGCGTCGCGACGGGGTTTTGAACCTTTATCCTTTTCCAAGAGTCGGGCGTTCATCACACCAGTCTTGGCAGATACCCATGAATGATCTATTAGGTATAGTTATGACTAGAGGGTTTCAGGAGGAGGAGGGGTACAGCTTTCAATTTTTTTTAATTTTCAACTTGTGTAACATGTTTTTTATTTATTTATTAATTAGTCATTTAAAAATAATTCCGTATTATTATTTGTTTCCTTTTTTAAAACTCATATTTTTTATCCTGATCACCATGTCTTTAACAGTCCCTACCTTAGGTCTTCATAAAAAGTCAAGCTGACCAAGTACCTATTAGACAGATGACATATGTCATTTTAAATACTGTCTATAGTTTACGCGAGTAGTACACATTTAAATAAAACACCTTAACGGTTTAAAACGCGATATATTAGTTAAACATCATTTTCAAACAAGTTTACGTATGTACGAAGTTTTCTTCTACCTAGAACATATCAGTACACAAAGGAAAATATGTTTCTGCACGACCGAGGATCGAATCTCGACCTTATGACCGTTCTCAAACCACTAGGCCAACGCGGCTCTATTTGTTTATACGAACGCATATTTGTTTCTACTTAATTCCATAGTAAGTGTGTAATAAAAGAGTTTTCTTTTCTTCAGACGAAGACAAACGTCAGTTGTATGCATTTCCGAGGGTCGGAAGGTCTTACCCCATGCAGATGTCACCAGCCAGGTTGGAAGAGCTGCTCTTTGGCAGAAACCGTGGTTTCGTAAAACGAGAGAGCGAGAGTACAGACAGTACGGGAATGTGGTTCGGCCCAAGATTGGGAAGAGCATTTCGCAGTGAAGATGGTAAGATTCTTTATTTCTAATCATTTTATCTATTAATGGTTTTATGAGACTCACCACACTGATTAGGCTTAAACGCCTATCGGGACTACCAGGTAGGTCCAGGCTCGTGTTAGAAGTTTTCAAAAAACTTTAAAATTATAATTAATTTTAGTTACAATAATAAGTACGTAACGCCAAACAAATATACGTCGAAAATAAATATAGTGACATAGATAATAAATATAAAAAAATAGTGTATGTGTAATATTTTATATTTTAAATATGCTTTATGGTTAAGCGCGTTGCGTAGCATTGTGTTAAGCACGAGTTCCTGGGTTGAAACCATGGTCGATGAGGGCACAAAAGTGTTATAATGCCTTTAATTAAAATCAATCAATGAAACTAACATAGAAAGGTGTTCGCCCCATACCCCACAGGTAATACGGGATTACTACACTTTTGAAAATTTTATATTTAAGATTGTTAATGCACCTAATTTTCAGATATCTCTAGCTTAGACCATAGCGAACCTGAAGAGTTAGATTCGGATCAATCCAGTCGTGAGAAACGGGGGATCAAACAGACATAATTCACGCATTTCACCTTACTCTTCTGTTAATTGTTATACGAAGTATGTATGACAAATCAGTATTATTTATTCTTAAGATTTCATGTGTTAACCGTACAAAAATGAATTAACGATTATTATATTTATTTCGACTCGATATTAAAATACACATTGACAATGATTAATATTATTTTCGCTAAGCTTAAGCGCGCCAAAAGCCATCTGCGGAAAGACGACCACAGACCATAAATATAATTAAGTTATTCATAATCTGTGCCCTTCGGCAACATTCTATTTGTGTGAAAACTTTTTATCTTCTATCTGTACCAATTAGAATTTAAGTTACACCAGTCCATGCTTAATTCGTAATTTTAATAAAAATAAGTCAATTTATAAGAATACCGCCAATGTTATTTATGAAATCGATATATGAGAATAAAATTAAGTAAGTAAAACTTAGGTTCTAGACATAGTTTGTGGTTATAATGTTTTAGACTCGTAATGAAATAAATTTAATTCAGCGAGCGTAAATAAAACTTAGATATAAGAATGTAATATAATAATAATGTTTATCTATTGTTAAATTATAATTGTTGTTCCGGAATCGTTTCTGTGGCTGGGTGGATTGTAATTAAGTTTTAATCCAAGAAGTGATTCCGGCATATATTTTAAACGTATGTTACTGAAATAAAATGCAAGGGTAATATTGGTAGTTTTATTTACTATGAGATTAGATGATTAAATTATGGAAAATTATGGAAAATTTTTGAACTGTATTGGAATCTTTATTATACATATTTCTTTTTTCGCCCAGTTCAAGAAAATTAAGTATTTTATAAAATTACTTTATTTTAAAGAACCTTTTATTAAATGGTGGTAACCATAACTATATATTACAAGTTTAATTAAAGTCAGTTTTTAGCTTTTCAATTGTCAGTAATACAACGCTTATTTTGTTTGAATTACCAGTGCCTTAACAAAAAAATAATTCCTTACAAATTCAAACAGTAAACATAATATATACTAAAAATAAATCATCTTTATTTTTGTGAAGCCCAATTGTTTGAGCTTAATGAGTTTAATTCAATACTTAAAAAAAAAACTTTTATACAAGAGTGTCATAGTTAACAAGTGCCAAAATAAGAAGTCTTATTTTGGTACTCGCTTATAATGTCCTGTACCACTTCCCATAATTGATATTATTTTAAATAGGTTTGTTTAGGCTTATTTAAGCAAATTGAATGTTGGTTTAGGTAAGTCAGATGTAATTGAGAAGTTACCTTTGTGATATGAGTAATTGTGTATTTTAAATACTGTCTATAGTTTACGCGAGTAGTACATATAAATAAAACACTTTAACTGTTTAAAACGCGATATATTAGTTATAAGTTAAAGTGTTTTATTTAAATTGTGTATTTTTGAATAATACTTTGAATAATTATTATAATTATTAAATAATAATTGAAATAAATTTTATGTTGGTAAATGGAAGCGAAAAAATACATGTAATTTAATTTTTTACATCTTTCTTAACTTACAGTAAACTTTTTGCCTGTTTAAAGTGCATATAAATTTGATTATAGTGTCTCTAGTCCCTTCAAAAACACACAGTTTTATTTAAACGTAATTGGCTAGTGATGTTATATTTATATAGTTAGTTATTAGTTATATACAAAGAACTTTATTGAGTTGTTATGATTTCCTCATACCCCCATTATCCCTGATGAGACAGAGAGCATTCACCCCAAAGAGGACTAATCCTCGCGTGCATAAAAACCGAATCCTACCTGATCAACAGCGGTGGATTGTTTGCGGTGAAGGAAAGCCCCTGCAGGGGAATATTCACACGGAGCGATATTTACTGTATTTATTTATAGTTCTAGCGTTCACTAAACCATTTAAGTATTTGATATATAATTTGTGGTTGGTTAAAATAAAATCGAATCGGTTTTTATAGAGTAATAACTTATAAACAGCGTTATGGTCGGTTTTGTAATGGGTAAAACGTTAAACTTGTGTCAGGATTAATTATTCAGAATTGATAAAACGTGAGAAAGGCGCTACGAAGAATAGAAAACATTTTTATGATCGGTGAAAATTTTGAATGCGCTTGAGGTCTTTCGCGTTTGACTTAGTTGTGCTCGTGTTATATAATTTGTATGAAGAATTAGGCATGGGCAATTAAAAATGAATTTTGTTAAGATTTTTAATAATAAAAACCTTTCTACAAGTATATAAACTTCATGTTTCATTAAGTGTATATGTGTATTCAAATATGGACCCTAAAATTCCAGAAAATTATCTTATTTTATAATATTCCTATTTTAGAATGAAATATCCATATATAGATAATAATTATCATGTAACAATTGGTTATTTTTGAGCGGTAATATTCAATCTCGCCAAAAATACAAAATGGCCGAAAAGCAGAAAAACAGGATGGTCATGACTGTGGGATCAGCTGACTCGCCGCTGTTGCACAGGTTGTCGAAGCATTGACAAGTGGTACCCAAGTGGTCACTGTTGTCGTCTTTGTAGCACTCCTTCTCGTGGGGAATCCAGCCGCAACCGCGTGTCACTCGCACCTCGGAGTCGCGGTGTGGATGGAAGACTGGAATATTAAGGGGTTATTTTTTTTATAGACTTTATAGACTTTGCTATTACGAAATTAAAAAACTAGAAACAATATTATAATGTTTTCGTGTAATTATTTGGTGTACATTTTTAAAAAGAAATATGTCTGTAAAAACTTCATCTGTTCTATTACTGTTCAGAGTATTGAAATAATGATCAGTGCTATAAAGTACATTTTAATCAGTATTTCAAATGTAAAACTTATGGTAATAGATGGTAATCTAAAGCATGTTGGACTTCGTCTGGAAATCTGAATATTAAATGCGTGGTGTTATCAAAAGTCTACATTCTGAAAGTGACCTTCCTAATATTTTTACAATAAAGTAAATTAGTACTTAAGATTTTCTTCCAATATACAAATAAGGTCTATAAGCAAAGTTTCCCTCTACCAATTAAACGCTAAACGCTCACGCAATATCCTAACACGTTTAGAAAGTCGTTCCAGCAATACTCACTTGTTTGCACAATTTTCCTGCAAAAGAACGTGATGGGTTTCGTCTTGGGTATCGCGTTGTCGCAGTTCACTATCGGTATGATGCTGGACCGGATTTCTTCGTCGTATTGGTTGACGTCCAGACAGGCCGAGTTGTTCGCACTGTTGCAATAGTAACAATGGATAGCACTAGCTGAAATAAAAAATAAATAAACAATAGAGATAAAATTAAAAAAAAAACACGTATACTGTCTGTAGTTTTCGCGAGTAGTACACATTTGAATACACTTTAACGGTTTAAAACGCGATATATATTAGTAATTTATTTGAAAATTATTAAGTATATGAGACAGTCTCTCCGTGACCACGGCTACTGCAAAGCATCCGAAACGTCGGGCCGAAGTAAAATATTTTTCAAATAAGTTTAATTTATATATATCGCGTTTTAAACCGTTAAAGTATTTTATTTGAATTAACTTCTTTTTAATGGATACACTATAAATATTTTTTTTCAATGGCATGTTGTATAAATGTTTGTATGTGATCCAAGTGAACGGCAACTTGTGACATAGAATCTAACAAACAAACAACATATAATTAAATTTTATTTAAGATTATAGAATTTTTATACACATTGGACCATTAAAAAGGCGGGTACTAAAACTACTAACGTATCAATCATTTTGTATTATTAAGCATGTGTAAACAATAAAACCAACAGAAATTAAAAATCTTAAAAAACAACTTAGAAAATGCTGTCAGTATTTAAATACAGATAATGCATGAATAAATAATTATTGATGAAAGATTATGCATGACCTAACATAACATTGCACAATGGTTACTCAACTGTAACTTATGTAATAAGTACGTTGTATATACAGGTTGATGTTCAAAAAATTGACACTCTTATCCTAAACAACTCTTATTTTTCTATATATCCTTGTTTAAAGAATATAAACATATAAACCAACCAAGTAATTGGTTCATATTATCTCTTACAATATAATTGGATTTAATTTATAGTGATATATTGTGACGTCAGAAGAACTAGACTCTGTCTGTCTTTTTTACATCACACTGTAGATAGAGTCATAGACCACCAAATAGATATTGTTATCAAACAAATGTCGTAGTTCAAGCGAATTGATAAGAATAGGCTAAAACAGTTCCTTGGCCGGGTTTGTATGTTTTCATACGAATTTAGAAAAAAAAACTATGAACAGGCATTCAACAAATTTGGTTGTCATAGATTTTTAAGTAGACTAATAGACCAATACCATTCTAAAAGCAAAAGCAGGCTTAAGCTAATGTATCAATTACAATACGATAATGAAGTTAAGAAAAATACGACTAGGCCATTTTTGTCAGGGGCTTGCCGTAAATTCGGTACATATGTACTAATCGTCTCAAGTCTAAAAAAATATACGTAATTGATGACAAATGTACGTATTGTACACTTACGAAGTGAACAATACGAAATGAAACGGTATTTTTGTAAGGTACTACACTTTTGACACTCGCATATACTAAAGTGGTTAAAAAAAATAACAACTGAATTTTGAAGAGATCAAATTCAATAGAATATTAAAAATACGGTTATCCAATTAAGAAGCATTACTTACATGTACATACGAATGATAACATAAGTAGAGCAAAGATTGCTTCTTTTAGTGGTGACATTTTCTTATCTGAAAGCAAAATAAGTTTTAACGTACCTTATAAATAATGATTTAATATCTAAACAATCCAATGTAGACACGGAATCGCTGTTGGTACTAGGACTACCTTAAAATGCTGTATGTAGCTTACGCGAGTAGTACACATTTTAATAAAACCCTTCAACGGTTTAAAACACGAAATATATTCGTTCAGGAAGTCTCCCCGTGACCATGGCTTCTGCAATGCATCCGAAACTACGCGCCGTAGTTAAAAGTAAAAGTTTAACTAATATATTTCGCGTTTTCAACCGTTAAAGTGTTTTATTTAAACAATATATACACAACATATACGTTTATAACTGTAATATTAGAGGTTTATACTAATTAGATTTTAAAAAAAAAATGTATAGCGCCGAAGCAAAAAGTCTTTTATCAATTACGATTAAGTATTGTCACGTTTCTTTTACAAATATGAGTAACCTGAAAAAAAAACATATATGTTACTTTATTACATAGGCGGGAATCGAATTAGCACCCCACCGCGTATTTTGCGTTTACACTGACGGACAACAATGGTAGCTCATTTTCAATTTACAAGTGTAAATAACATAAAATTATAAAGATTCAAACTTACCTGCAGTTAAGCCTTTAATGCACTTTGTCGAAAAATCCCAAGAGATTAGCACATCAACATAAAATGACCTCACATTACATTTACGCGAATTAATAGCGAGTAATTGTAAAACACTGGTAGTCACCAACCAACTATCGCACTGGGACAGTTTTTACGTTACTGAGGTAATAACCATTCAAGTTATGTATCTAACACCACGTACAGCACAGCTGAGTAATCTTGATACTTGTACATTATATTATTATGAACACTTGAATAGTATTTGATATTTTATGCTGTTAGACAAAACGTCAATTATCAAAATTAAAATGTATAATCCTGCGTTTTAATATATGAATACATTTCTCCCTTTTTATACTCATTGTGGTATACTATGGTAGTTTACATTGATGCCTAATTTACGCCTTTTTTTACCAAGAATGCCTACCACGTGTTCCGAGCAGTTGCAAACGATTTTATCACAATCCGTCAAGATAAGTTCACTACCGGATATTCGCAGTAATAATTTTTGAATTAATCCCAAAAAACAGTGGCCTATTTTTAAGCTGAATGACCATTACGGTCATTGATAACTGCCAACGCGTGTTGCTTATTTAATAGTATTTTTTTCTATACAAAATCAATGCGTAAAATAATGCAAACCGACGCAACGGTTTATATGGAAAATCGACAATTACAGCTAGACTTTAAAAGGTAGGAGCTGCTTTCGTGAACCACAGCGCTCTTCCAACGCTTACGCGTCGGGGTGTGCTCGCGCAGGGTTATTGAATCTTGACCTTAACCCAATCCCAACAAATTTTAAAAGTGTTCAGTAACTTTAAATTGATATCTAATACCGTCATATCACGCTTCGCATTACTATTAAAAAGGAATTTTACATCGATTATTTAGAAAGCTAAAAGTTAAGTTAACAAACGCACCAGCGGCTTTTTTAAGTATCAAGATTATTAAATTTAGTATAGAGTTATCGTTCGTACTTCGCATGTGACCTATGTCCGGTAAAAATGATAAATGATTTATTATTCTGAACACTATTGTTGCTAGAATTTCATAAAAAATATATTTGAAATAGTTAGACGTTCTTTCATAATTAATTAAACCTTGTAAATAAACAATTAAGTATTGTTTAGTAATATAGGACAAACCCGTGTCACCGAGTCAAACCACCTCCACAGATGAAAAAGCCGTCATTTATTTGCTCATTCTTGTTTCCAAATCCGTCGACTACCACGTTAGATGTTAATGGTTGTCGCTATTGCGAGAATTTCATTGATGACTAGTATTAATATTATTTGAATCCATCTAGTTAGGAACAAGTTTATTTTCAGGATAATTTAATTTAACGCCTCTTGTAAATGGTAAACAATTAAGTATTGCGGTAAGCGTGAGAGGTCTTGGTTTCAACGCACAGGGTAACATGTTTCAGCAATATAGGACAAATAAACAACGGATCAGTCGTTAGGGTTGAAAAACGGTCCCACACACTACAAAATTCAAACCTCTCATTGCACTTACGATGATAATTGCTCGTAAAATACCTTCTCAATAGTTCATTCGCGTATAGTTTTGTTTGTGTAATTCTACACTTTACTTTATAAGGCTTCCAGACAACCCTAGTGCTGCATTTGATATTTCATAGAACGCGCTATATCTCCTTAAGTCGTCAATTACGTAAACTTGCTAGGTATTGTAGGATTGGGGTTACCATGCGTTTAGATGTGTTGGATAACATAAAAAAATGCATTTTTTTTAAAGAAATACACAGACTAAAAATTTAAAAAAAAAGTGACATGTGACTTGGACAGTTTAGTTGTAGCATTGTACAAACGTGTCGTACAATTATTTTTATCTAAAATCGATTTTTTAATTTATATAATGCTAGCGGGTCGTGGGTTTGATCCCCACGAGTTTACGTTTCGAAAAGAGAAGCCTTGAAGCTTTATAGCGTTTTGGTTTCATTCTGCGTATTTCCGGATGTCCAAATCCAAAATAGCTCGACAGCACATCTAGTGTAGATGGTATATGGCTGTTATATTTCACCTTTCATGAAGTGAACATTATGCTTGTCTTTCCACCTCTATCATCTCTATCTAAAAGAAGGAAAAAGCTAAAAAGGACTCGAACCTGTTGCCTCTTTATCTATGTCTATACTTCTATAATCTATACTAACATTTAAAGCTGAAGAGTCTGTTTGTTTGTTTGAACCGATAGATTCAGGAAGTACGGGTTGGTTAAAGTCTTTTGTGTTGGAAGGTTGTAACACATTGCAATGTGACTAATAGGAGCGAAGGTACAGCGAGAAATGTGAACAAAACAAGTGGAAGTTTGTCATCTCTATAGGTTTCGGATGCGTACGCTGCGAAAACGGTTCAAGATACCTAAAAATTGAGTATGAAAGAATGCTTTCCCTTTAAATGATCTAAATAAAATTCCGCGTAATTAAATAAATAAATTAAAAAATTAACTTGCAAGAAAGACGGGGAAGAAGGTGACGGGGTTTGCAAAAACTTTTTTGGCTGCTCAAAATAACGATTCTCGCAGACGAAGTCGCTAGCACGGCTAGTATTAAATATTATTCAAATTTATTATTCCAACTACACACGTCAACTGCGAGCAGATCTGCTAGATTGTATAAAAAAGATTGTTGTTTTTCATACACTGAAAGTAATAAAAGTTTGTGGGGTACTGATCAGAACTTCAAATTGTTTGCTAACTTCTTCAAAAAGAAAAATAACTGTCAACGCTTTATGATCTAAACGAAACTGTCTATCTTTCAAGTGAAATTCATATGAATAGGTGCATTTTAGAATAAGAAATAATAAGAATAAAATGTGATTCCTCCGAGACCTTGGACCACGGGGCGAATACAGTTCTGTGTCCGTTTCGTGACTTCGTGTGTGACTTTGTGTCTGCCCGACTGTTTAGTGTTTCCTTGGGATTCGAACCTAGGATCTCTTGCGCTTCATTTAATGCTAGGCAACACGCTTAACCATTTAGTTACAGAGGTGGTCGTAATATAATCGTTTTGTATAACAAAGTCATTTACAACAAAAACTATAATTTATTTAATCGAATATGTAATTGCAACTCTGCAAGTATATTGTTATTTTAAAAATCGAAAATAAAGTGAAAAAATTTGCGACTCGGGCAGGGCTTGAACCGGCATCGTCAGCGTTCCGTGCTGTTGCTCTACCAATTGAGCTACCGAGTAGCGATTGGTACTGGTACTGCCTGGAAAAAACTGCTTTAGACAATAAGACAGTCTTTGTAGTATTTTATTTAAATAAGGAATTTAGTCTTTTTATATTTGTTTGCGTTTTGTTCATTTTATTAATGAGTTTATAAATATTGCCCCAGGTCTCAAAGCTAAACTGACAACACAAACGCATATAAACCATGCCATATACGTTTAATGGATAAAAATTAGACAACATTGAGCTTTTAATGTGCGCATTAATTACACGTGAAACTTATGGCTTTTCCTTCGATACTAAGTGATTACTTTCGATGTTAATAGTTCCTTCCACACCGCAGCAAACAGACGTGTAAAATGAAAAACGTTTTCAAGCCACGCAAAGTCAACCCGAAAGAGGCAGTCGATATGCAGTACATCCAAGATTTCTATTTTAAAGACTTCAAATACATAAGTCCCGAAGTCCTCGCCAATAAGAGCGTCGGCAAGAAAAGTTTCGGATTGTTCGCGAAATTGTGGTTTAGGGAAGTGATAAAAGGGCTCAAACAATTCCTTTATGAAGGCTCTTTGCACGGCGTCAAGTAAGTTAAATTGATTAGGACTTATTGAAGATCGGCCGAGCGTTTGGTGACGCGTGACTTACCTTCGCTCGGCGTGGGCGTATCGGCGGTTAGCCTTTGAGATCCTAGGATTCGATTTAAAGTTGACAGAAATGATCCTGACGTGTAATTTTACTATTATAAATGTATTTAGTACTAGATGGAATTTGAAATAGCCTAGTACTATAACGTATAAGATGTGATGTCGACATATTTCGTCTTTAAACATTGTGAAATCTTCAGACAGCTACCGAAACGCATATTAAAACTTAACGGCTTTTTAAATTTTATGTTTATTTTAATGATTTTCTCTTACTTTTTGAAAGAGAGGCCTTCCATGTTCTATGATAGTGAGAAATAAGTTTGACTTAACGGGGATCAAAACCACGACCTGTTGGTTACTAACCGTACATTCATACCTTTGAACCTACGGACCCGTTTAATGAAAGTTCTAGAAAAAAATATATCAATTCTGACACAACAAAACAATAATGCCGTGTCGTTTTTGTCACTATAATAAATTGAGTTCCCGCTAACCGCTAATCAAAGAACAAATGATTAGTCTAAACTATGTTTAATGTCAAGTATACTTAATTCGATGTTGATAATGATAAATATACTTTGATTTGTTTTGGACATCCGATCGAAGCTTTAAGGCACGCAACGTGCTTACAGTCAACATAAAATGCGTGCTAAAATTATCTACAAGGCGTTTTTTTTTCTGTTAATTTATCTTTGTGTTATATTGGGTACGGAAAGAGATGCTATGACGCTTACTATCACGGCTTAAGTGAAAATAATAAAATGTATTTTTGGATGAAGCCATAATGTACAGTGAAAATCAAAAGAGCTTGACGTCTTCGCTTTTATGACGCGTTTGGACCACAAAAGAAAAGAATTCGCAAAACTTTGGACGTTTCCGTGAAAATGTTGGACACGATGCTATAAAACTATTGTTGGAGATTAAAAATTATAAATAGCAAAGATTGAATATAAATTTATATATTAAAGTTCAAGGACACTAAACTATAAGTACGATTCTCATAGAAATATAAGAAGTCGAATATTATTTTTGATCAAAACAGACGTAACTAGTATCTATTTTCGCATAAATACATAAACTTCCGAAAGACGTCTGTAATTTACGCGAGTAGTACACATTGAAATAAAACACTTTAACGGTTTGAAACGCGATACATATTAGTTAAACTTAATTTAACTAATTATTATGTCTCCATGGTTGCTGCAAAGCATCCGAAACTTCGGGCCGTAGTTAAATAATTTTTATACAGCTAAAGGGTTTTATTTTAAATGTAAACAAACTTTCCTAACCATGTGTGAATTTATTTCCAGGTACATTTTCGAGCCGTCCTTCAGTCACAAGGAACGCGTTGTTTGGATAGTAATAATTGTAATAAGCATTACGATATGCGCTATGAACGTCATACAACTTATAAGTAAATGGACTTCGACCCCCTTTGTTAATGTTATCGATTCACTACCAACGCCAATATGGGCGATACCGTTCCCAACTGTGGTATTATGCCCGCATATACACGTGAAATTATCTTTCAAGAATATTTCGGATTTAAATGAGTAAGTTTACTGAGACTTTTACAGTCGGCACAATACTTTGATTAAACGTCGTCTAAAACAACATACCAGTGCCCATAGCCTATTATTTAAATTTACTTTATGTCTTACTCATCGTTAAAGCGACTTTAGAAATACATAGAGAGATCCGTACAGTTCGGAATCCTTAAAGATATTAACCCTCAGAATTAATATATAAGTACATAATATTTAAATGATAATTATACAGTTTTTAATGTATCAAATATTGAAACGTTTTGTTTAAATTTTAACGGTTTAAAACGGAACATATAAGTAAGAACTAACGGTAAGTGAGACACGTGTCTTCTCGTGACCACAAGCATCCGAAAGGTCAGTAGTAATGAATCATTTTTAAATACGTTTAAATAATATGTTCAGCGTTTTAAACAGTTAAAGAGTTTTATTTATAAGCGTCCTACTCGCGTAGCGTTTTTTTTTATATCTGTTTTAGCATGGAGAAATTTTATGCATCCCTTGTATGCCCTTATATGATGTCACAGAATATATCGACTCCAATAAGGATGTCTGTTCTTCAAAATGAAGATCTGCAAAAGTTTCTTGTTATGGTTAGTTTCTTCTTATTCTAGATTCCCAGTAGATAGGGATAACCTAAGATGAAGTGAGACACGGTAATTTAGCTAAACTATCCACTTGTAAAAAAAATATATATAAAAGTATTAGGAATGTAGTATTATATTAAATACATAAGAGTGTATGAGGCTGCTAGAGGCAGAGAGGCTTTATTACAAAAACATTCACAATTAACTTAGGCGAAAGTGAATGTACTAACTTACTTAGGTATTTAGTTAACAATTTTTGGTCACTATGCTCTTGTAGATTTAGGTACATTTTAGGTTATAAATATATCAATAACTCGAGTTATAAAATTGCGGTTAGGCTACTCTGCCTCTAGCGGCCTTATAATGTCTACTACTAATATACTAAATAAGTTAATTTAATAAATATATATATATATATATATATATACAATAATAGTGACTATGATATCTTAGTTGATCTAATGCGAAATTTGAAACGCAGGCGGAATGAGTTCGTCTTGCGTTTATAACTTACTGTACTACTTAAATTAAGAAGGGTTTAAAAAAGAAGGTATTCAAAAAATATTTTATATTTGGTACCAGGGTTCCCCGAGATGTGAGGAGGTGGTAAAGTTCTGTCATTGGCGCCCCAAGCACAATTCAGATTGGCACGCTACAGATTGCTGCGAGAAGTTCTTTAAACCGGTCTTTACTCAGTATGGTCTGTGTTTTGCCTTTAATGATATGCCCTTAGGCGGAATGTAAGTAGTAATTAGTAAATACCATTTTTAAACCATAATAAATAAATGATTTAAATAAGAACGGAGTCGACGTCGTAGATAACAACTAGCATATATGCAACATATCGTAAAATTTTTTGGCCCGAAGGCATGCCGATTTTGCGATGTCATGTCGAAATAGGTGGAAATCAAACACCATTTTTAAGTCCCAAGTATTTCATATTATTTACATTATCCAGGACTAATAGTACACTAGACTGGCAAAAGAGCTTCTACAAAAACGCATCAGCAGCATCTCTGTCGTGGGATTTGGATGTGGGTTACCCAAACGAAATTCCACCGGCTATCGAACCTGTTCCCTACCGAGTGATGGCGTCTGGTGAAGCGAATGGAGTTGATATGGAGTTGTACTTGAATATAAGCGAGCACCAGTACAACTGCGATGGTCATTACAGGGGATTCAATGTAAGAATTGATCAAAATGTTGAAAAATGCGTGCTTCAGATGTTTTCCTAGTAAATTAACAATAAAATTACATTGAAACGTCGGGTCGAAGTTAAAAATCCTAGTAATAAAGTGTTTTATTTAAATCTGTACTACTCGCGTAAACTATAGACAGTATTTCTTTTAAACTAATTAAAATGGGAATTATGTTTAAGTTTATAAAACAATTAAACGGTTTAAGACGCGATATATATTAGTAAAACTTATTTGAAAATTATTTTAACTACGGCCCGACGTTTCGCATGCTTTGCATCAGCTGTGGTCACGGGGAGAAACGGGAAGAGCCAATATACATTTAATATGTACTACTCGCGTAAACTACAGACAGCATTTAATTAAATTCAATAATTTTACCTTCTACCGTCAAAGTATTCTAAATTTTGGGTCATTATGTATCGAGTAAAATAGACTAAATTTATAACTTTAGTGCATTGTAGATACTCTAAGAAAGTACCTAACTAAAATTTGGCGTAAAAGTTTACGCAAAATTTTTATGACTTTTGACTTTTATATCCTACTTTTACACAGCTCTTGATAAGGTCTCCAACAGACCATGTGTACAGTACAACAATCCTTCGTCTACCAATGGACAAGATGACGACCATAGAAGTGACACCAACCACCTACAAGACAGACAGTTCACTCAGGACCCTGTCCCCGAATCTAAGGCAGTGCTTCTTTCAGAATGAGAGGAAATTAGAATTCTTTGAGTTCTACACAGATAGCAACTGTCAACAGGACCTGTTGATGCGAGAGACAATGAAGTATTGTAAATGCGCTATGTTTAATTGGCCCCGTTAGTAAACTTATTAGCTTCTTTATCAACTACTTATAATCTCTTCTTCTAGTTTTTTTCTTCTTCTTTTCGTCTAGTTGTTCATTTAATACTTTTAAAGGTATTAAACCTCAATTATATAATTAACTTTTATTTTAATTTCAAATACGGCCTCCATGAATGTCGGGCCGTATTAAAAAAAGTTGACTAATATATTTCGCGTTTGAATCGTTAAAAGTTTATTTCAATGTGTAATACTTGCGTAAACTACTGACAATACTTAGCCTAGACGATTTATATCTAATCTATTCCGTGTTTTTTTTAAGTCTATAAAACTAGAATGAAGTTACTTTTTCAGTCAGGCACAACAGTTTTTGTGTTATGCGGTTGAGCTATTTAGTATTTTTAATTTGTTTTTCAATTTTCAGGAAAATCTCTGGCAGATCCAATATGTTCGACTCATATAGACTTCGCATGCATAAAGAAAGTAAAAGGTATTATTAACTTGGTTACGTATTGATTAAAATAAAAAATGAATGTATAAAATATAGAGAGAGCTTTCGATTATATTTGATTAAGGAACTTCGATTACGCATTTATTATAATATTCGATGGAAATTAGCTACGTTGTCTTTTTTATTTTTTTTTTTGACGAAACGAAAAACCCAAGCAGTCCTATATCTAAACAAGATACGTTGCCGACTTATTTCGCCTTATATGTTCGGGAATCCATAGACTGAAACTGGAACGAAATTAAACTTTTTCATCTTTAGAAACGTTCGTTTACGGGCGGAATTTCGATGTCCCATATTACCACTCATTTAAAATCCAGATTTCTAGACGAAGTACCTACAGCATGTTTTTAAATTGATCAGAAATACGTTAGACCAGGAGGAAATCAAACCTTCCAGCCGTTGATCATTAACCCCTCATTGCTACCATAAGAATGTCAAAATAAATCAATTTACCCCAAAAAAAAAACAAACAAAAAAGTATGTATTATATTTTCCAACTAATTGTTTATCGTTATAATACAACTTGTTAGTATCTTAACTACATGAAATATGTATGATCGTTACAGAATCAGTGGAACTACGTCTCATATACGCATATTATAAAGACAGAGATGAACAGAGCCATCACGGAGAATATTCATCTTCTTGCTATCCATCCTGTAATGACGTCCTTTACTCAAGCCAAGTGTACTATTCTGATCTTGGCGAGGAACCGGCCACTCACTGGAACGAGCCTAGAAAGTAAGGCAATTTAAGTCTTGATGTAGGTATTTTCTATAAAAAAACCGTTTTATATTTTTTGGGAAATATATAATATGTCAACAGATATTTTACTTATCAATTTGGGGGATTTCCAAAAAAAATTTTTTTTTTTAATATATAGAACACAAACCTTTAAGAGCACCCACCTTATTTTGTGCGGGTAACTGGAATTGAAACACATTTTTATAGAAAAAAGAGGTTTATTTTGGTGTAATTTTATCTAATTTATGTTGCCACTTAGAAATTAATAAATTAATTAAATAAATATATATCTTTCGCAGAGGTGAAAGGACCAGGGTAAATGTGCATTTCTATAACGACATGTTTCTTGGTCAACATCGGCATGCACAATATGACGAATATTATTTCGCAGGTAAGAAGTTTTACTCAAATATTCAAAAGACCACAGACAGCTGCTGCAAAACATCCGAAACGTCGGGGCGTAGTTAAATTAAATTGTAAATACGTTCTAAAGCATTTCGCGTATTAAACCGTTAAAGGTGTTTTATTTTAATAGATATTCTCTTACTTTTTATTGGACAACAAATATATTGAAACATAATTGTCATCATAACTATTACACAGACTTTATGAAGATTTAATTACAGCGCCATCTATGACTGATATTCCGACACTTCAAGAGAGACTGAGTGTATTTTTATTAGGATTTTATTCTATTTTTCGTTTGCAGGTGCTATTGGTGGTCTCTTCAGCCTATTTTTAGGGTTCAGCATTATTAGTGTGGCCGAAATTGTGTACTTTGTGCTTCTTAAACCTATTTATGTTGCGTTGAAACATACCTTATTTGTAACTCAACCCACTTATTAAGTCAAATTATTACAATAAAACTATAAAGGAAATAAAAATAAAATTGAAAACTTTAACGGTTTAAAACGCGATATATTAGTCAAACTTATTGAAAATGACATGACCACGGCTGCTGCTAAGCATCCGAAACGTCGGGCCGAAGTTAAAAATCATTTTCAAATAAGTTTGACTAATATATCGTGTTTTAAACCGTTAAAGTGTTTTATTTAAATGTGTACTACTCGCGTAAACTATAGACAGTATTTAATAAGAATTATTTATAATCCGACTTAGTAAAAATGTAGAAATATTTGAAAACATATTTAGAATAGTTCTTGTAAGTGTATTAGTTGCCATAAAAAATTATTGTTTTATGCTCATTTTAAACCTAATTTCTCTGTAACGGTTCTTAATGTACCTATGTATAGTCATTTAAAAATGGTTTTTTGTTTTGACATACTTCAAAATCACAATCAAAAGTTTATAAGAAATATTTTAAGTGTTAAAATTGTTAATTATTTATAAAATGTTTTGCGAAGACGCTTGTTTGGGCTACAGTTGTGGTCTGGATAAAATTAGGACTTTGAATGATAAACTCAACGCTGAAGTGATCGAACAAATTAATGGTTCCCAAGAATTGGTTATGCTTACCAATTTCGCCAGGGAGTCTAACGAGTATCATTATAAAAAAAGCTTGCAAGAGAGGTAAGTCTCTTGATCAACATGTCGTGCATATAAAAATACTCATACATAAGTAAGAACTAAGTTTTAGTAATATTATAATTATAAAAGTTTGTGTATATAACTTGACATTTTACTCTCTCTATCGGTACTGGTTCAAACTAAAAATGCGTTTAACGTCAGAGGCTCAAAAATTTTAGCATAACACAATAGCTTCAGCCTTGCATAGCATATAAATACCTATTATAAACTGAATCTTCAAAACCGTACTAGACTAAAGTGGACACAGAATCTCTAAGTAACTTTTTTCTTAAATTTTACGAAGTATATCGTAATCGACATATAAATACAGAATATCAGACGTCAGTTCCTGGCGTTGGGTGTTAGAAGACCTTTCGAAGCGTCTAGAAGAAGCGATACAAGTTCTAAAGTATGAAGAGAACGCTCTACGAGTAGTCGTCGAAAGAATTCAGGATGAGATTGAGAATCATTCGAAGCAAGGTTCAAAGCCGGGTGCCATCAGTCCCTTGCGTGATATTGTGGAAGAAGCCATATTGCAGGTGCTTTTATAAAACTAATAAAAGAAAGGAAACACAAAACTAATGGTACAATATACCTAATTTGACTATTGAAGTAGAGACATTGAAATGCTAGTAACACACATACACAGTTTATATCATATATATATGTAGTAATAAACAAATTCTTGACGCATAACTTTTTCTGTCTCTGTAAATAATCCTTACTATAGGTAATATTTTCTACATTTAATTTTAATATTTCACTAACAGGAGTACAATTTCCTAAGAGAAGAGAAGAGGAAATTTGAAAGACTTCTTCCTGAGCTAGAGAAACAGATAGCGCAAGTAGAAAAGACGAAGCAGCGTATAGAAAAAGACATTCTCATCAAAGAGCAAGCGATAAGCGTTGACGAAAACTGTGTTGAGAGAAATTATTCGGACATTGCTGTAGACGCAAATTGGAAAGAGAAGAAAAAGAAGTGCGTGTCTTTATTTCTTCATCTCCTATTCTGAAAATGTATTCCAAGATTGATGTAGTTTTAGCGTAGTAAAAAAACAAGAACATACAGACAACAGAAGTGTATCAATAATAAAAATAAAGTATTTAAATAAAACACTTTAACGGTTTAAAACGCGATATATTAGTTAAACTTATTTGAAAATGATTTTTAACTTCGACCCGACGTTTCGGATGCTTTGCAGTTGCCGTGGTCACGGGGAGACTGGGAAACGTAGGGCCGAAGTTAAAAATCATTTTCAAATTAGTTTAACTAATATATCGCGTTTTAAACCGTTAACGTGTTTTATTTAAATGTGTACTACTCGCGTAAACTATAGACAGTATTTAAAAATAAAGTACTTAAATATACTTAGTACTTATACATATATTTTTCGTGTTGAAAAATATAAATTGACTAGAAACATGGTGGGTCGGTGGAGAGGGAACAAGAGAGTCGTTGATTATTATTATTTTTATATGTAGACATTATATATAGCTATCGAGTGTATAATAAAACAAATAAAACCCTATTTGTATGCAGAACATTATAAAGACTTATTTACATTAGAATTTGTGCGTTCGTTTTAAAGCCTTCTACAAACTCTTCAACTCATTTCATTTGTGTTGTATTTTATTTCAGAGGGCTACCTATAAAAAAATGGGAAAAGCGATGTTTTATACTGAAGCGAACGGGCCTCAGAGCTTTAAGTAACTGCATTATTACGCGACAACAGGCAAGTATTGATTCAATTATACATCTTTAAAAATATATAATGCTTCGTCGTGTCGTGTGTTGCTCTGAAAGAGTTTACTATGCATTATTTATGACTAATAAAACATAATATCCAACTATAAATAAATTATTATATATTATATATTTACAACTTAATTATTATCAGTCTACGATTGTTAATAATGTGGAATATTCTAAAAGCACACCATGAAAAAAACCTCTACTCTTGCCACTTGACCCTTCTGACACTTGACAGTGTCAATCGTTATCGTATCCCACAGAATAAAGAAAACATAAATAAAGAGATGTGCGAGAGTATTCCTTTATTCACAAATATAAAAAGCATAACATAATTATGGCATATTTTAACTATCAGTTATGCAACTTCCAAGTACTATCTAGTTTTGTATTGCGCGCAAGTTTAATCTACGATCCTTTGATTATTAGCGATACATTGCCATCACATAATTCACATAACAGTCACTAAACATTTGAAAATTGTCTGTAGTAAAGCAAGTAGTGCCTATAGCAATAAAATAATTAACGTCCTAAAACTCGAAATGAATGGTCCGGTGGTAGTTAAAATAAACAAACTTTCAAGTTAAACTTTAAAACAGAAAAGACGTAAATATAAAAAATCCCATTAGTCGTATGTTTACTACAGATACCTACATTCAATTTGGAGTCCCCTAAAATTTCACTGAATAGCAACAGCTGAACACGCTTGGAATACAAAAGATAAGAATATAAAAACGGAACATTAAGACGTTGTCCCCTTAGTCTTACTTCAATCTTTGTGCGTGTACTGTGTGCAGAAATGTTTAAGAATGTGCAAGAACAAGTGAATCATGCCAAATCCACTGATGATAACTTGAAAATAATCCTTTTACCATTGTTCTGGCGCGATAGAGCGGTGGAGTGGTTTTCAGATTTCGAAATGTACCTAGGTTTAGAGCTTGGTGAGACGGAACTGGCGAATATTGTAGTGCAATATTTAAACGACGCTGACCTTGCTCTGGTCACAGATATCACTCTAAATCCACCTAGCGAACATTATACAGCGATTAAGGAACGCCTAACCTTCATTTGGGGATGTCATGATGAGAGGACAGAGAAAGTAGTAGAAGAATTTTGTAAGCAGCCCTTGGATAGCCGTTTATCTCTTATCAAACTTTTCAATATGGGTAGTGAGTTCAGTGATTTCTTTGGATTGTTGCAATCAATCTCGAGTTTCGTTATTAATTGTGATGCGAATAAGGTGACAGAAGTCAAGAAAAATTCCATACCATTGTGTTACTATCACCAGCGGTTTGGTAGCGAGGCAAGATCGTGTCTTAAGCCCTGTGGATATACTGACTAGAGAGATCCTTTGTTATTTGGCTGGAGTCCGAGATTCGCAATGATGCAAGAACTGCTACAAATAGGAAACTAAAGAATTAGGCTATGTGTGCAATACTTTCTTGCCGCAAACGTGCCTCCTTTTGACACTAATGGAAAAGTTTATTTCATCGCATTTATTTAGTTTAAGTTCATCGAAATGTTATAAAATATGTGTAAGTACTTAATTAATAAATTGTTTTAATATAATATACCTACTTTTTTATTTAGGCCCCCAATGTTAAGTTCCTCTTCCTTAGAAAGTCCTTTCTTAGAAAATATTTAACTTTTATTTAATGTTATTAATAATTACGAAGATTTAGGAATAAAAATGCGATTTAAACTGTTAAATAACCATTTTACATAGCTTATCACAATAAAAAATTATAGCAACAAATAAAAGTTTATTGGGTACATATTTTCTAACGCCCTTATAAGATCTAGTATATAGTCTAGTATAGTAATAATGATTATAAAAATATAATATATCCCGTAATAACATATTTATTTCTAATATACCTACATAGTGTGTGATTTTAAAATCCCTTTTTTGGTTACGAAAGTTAAAGTTGCAAAAACAAACACCTTGCAAATCAATAACATTTTTATAGATATTAAATGCAATTATGTTCAGAAGATACTTGGCATGGTACAGTTTTATACATCTATACATTTTTATAAGCCAAAGGGCTGTAAGACTCTTCAATTAAGTTTTTTTCTAATAGTTTAGAAACCTGAAGTTCTATTTCTTTTCTGTCCTCAAAGTTGCACCTATATGGCCGTTTATAACAATATTTATCAATTAACAAATCAATATGTGCTTCATACCCTTTCACGATACCTACATCATATTTGTCACAAGCAAAAAGAGATTTGTGATTGTCAATGAGTTCTTTGACTTGTGCCTGTTGCACAGTACTAAGATGATTTACTGTCATTTCAACATCATTAATTGGTATATGTTCGTTGAAGTTAATATTGTAACTATTTTTTTGTTTTTGATTTTGTGGGGTAAGCCCACTATTTGGAATATTATTATGACTAAAATCATGTTTTTCATTAACTACCATACCTGCTAAGTCAGGAATTATTTTGGGGTTATTAATTTCACCGGCTGATTTATATTTGTCACATTCTAAATTTGGTTGAATTTGTTTAATTTCTAACTTTTCATTTTGTATAAGACTAAACGCCTCTATGCAATCTAAGCCAATTAGAACATCATATTCAAAATGATTGCCATCCAATACAAATATGTTTACATTTTTTTCTATGTCAAATATTTTTAATTTCAAGGTTACTGTTCCAATAGCTTTTTTCACGCTATTAATTGTTTTTAAGTTTGCATCACAATTTAACTTAACAGAATTATTTTGCAAAGTCAATAATCGTAAATTTATTAATGATACATTAGATCCGGAATCATAGATCCCGAAAGTTTCCAAAGTGTCATTAATGCATAGTTTAATTTTTATTAATGGCGGGAATTCTAGTTTTTTGGATTAATTTGGTTAAGCTCAGTTTCAAGTTCATAATTATTAACGTTATGAATCTGATCCCTTTTTAGCCTATCATTATTCTTGTTTCTAAACCAACACATAGTTTCAGCATGATACCTAGTGCCTTTGTTTTCCTTTTCACATATCTTGCACGGCTGATCCTTTCCATCTTTCTCTTTGACGGTTTTGTCGAAGGAATTTTTTTTCATCCCAATTCTTCTTGACTAAATGTTCCAATCCTCTGATGTTATTAAGTAAATCTTCAGTGTGGTTTAAGTTATTTCTATCAATTTTATCTGCTATATAGTTGGGCAAACCAGTGGCAATTAGGTCTATTAAAGTGGTTTTATCTTTTTTTAAAGCGTATTCCAGTATTTAGCCCTGTCTATATTTAAATACAATTGCATACCTGATTGGTGACCAACCCTTGTCTGCATATGTTTCGCTGAAGCTGCTTTTCCACACTTACCACTTTGAGTTCACTGTATGTTTAATGAGCATTGAGCTGTACCAGTCAAGACAGGATTCATCCAGAAACAGTCGAAGTGCTTCAATCGTTTGTGTATCTTCATCTACTTCTAAACCGACACATTCTGATTCAAATATTTCCATCCATTGAGATGCATTAGATATTTACCTACTATATTTCTCAATCACAAATTTATCTGTGAGCTTTTTTATACTATCCTTTTTCACTTCACTAAATTTTGCCAATATCTTAGTTAAAGCTTCTTCCGTAAGACTGGTTGTTGGTTTGTCTTCTGACTCCGTTTCACCCTCCTCTAGTAAATATCCTTGAAATTGTATGTTCCCATCTTGATCAACATACACGTTTTTCATTTCCGGGGTCATGGATATCCACACATTTCGTTTTTCATGCCTCCTTTGTAGCGTTTTTTTTACTGTTTGGTATGTTGTGGTTCTTGTAATTTCATCATGAAGATGAACGGGTTGAAGTTTTTCCGGAAATAAAAATTTTTGTTTATTTATATCGGTTATGGAGGTTATACATATTAAGTTTTGTCTTTTTATCCTCGCTTCCTTTCACTGTAAATTCAAACCTGTACTTTTCCATTATTAAGTTAAATGTTGTTTTATAATGCTTCGTTATTATAATTGGGTGTTCCGGAGTGAAACGACATGTGCAGTGTGTTGCTCTGAAAGAGTTTATTATGCATTACTTATGACTAATAAAACATTATATCCAACTATAAATAAATTATTAAAACATACCTGAAAGAGAAACAACATTTACAACTCAATTATTATCAGTCTACGATTGTTAATATTGTGGAATATTCTAAAAGCACACCATGAAAAAAACCTCTACTCTTGCCACTTGACCCTTCTGACACTTGACAGTGTCAATCGTTATCGTATCCCACAGAATAAAGAAAACATAAATAAAGAGATGTGCGAGAGTATTCCTTTATTTACAAATATAAAAAGCATAACATAATTATGGCATATTTTAACTATCAGAATTATTATGCAACTTCCAAGTACTATCTAGTTTTGTATTGCGCGCAAGTTTAATCTACGATCCTTTGATTATTAGCGATACATTGCCATCACATAACAGTCACTAAACATTTGAAAATTGTCTGTAGTAAAGGAAGTAGTGCCTATAGCAATAAAATAATTAACGTCCTAAAACTCGAAATGAATGGTCCGGTGGTAGTTAAAATAAACAAACTTTCAAGTTAAACTTTAAAACAGAAAAGACGTAAATATAAAAAATCCCATTAGTCGTATGTTTACTACAGATACCTACATTCAATTTCATCATCATTAATTTCTTTCAATCTTTAAACCGGTCTTTTTTTTTTTGGAGTCCCCTAAAATTCCACTGAATAGCAACAGCTGAACACGCTTGGAATACAAAAGATAAGAATATAAAAACGGAACATTAAGACGTTGTCCCCTTAGTCTTACTTCAATCTTTGTGCGTGTACTGTGTGCAGAAATGTTTAACAAAGTGCAAGAACAAGTGAATCATTACAAATCCACAGATGATACCTTCAAAATAATCTATTTACCATTGTTCTGGCGCGATAGAGCGGTGCAGTGGTTTTCAGATTTCGAAATGCACCTAGATGACCTTGGTGAGACCGAATTGGCGAACATTGTGGTGAAATATTTAAACGACGCTGACCTTGCTCTGGTCACAGATATCACTCTAAATCCACCTAGCAAACATTATACAGCAATTAGGGACCGCCTAACCTTCATTTGGGGATGTCATGATGAGAGGACAGAGAAAGTAGTAGAAGAATTTTGTAAGCAACCCTTGGATAGCCGTTTATCTCTTATCAAACTTTTCAATATGGGTAGTGAGTTCAGTGATTTCTTTGGATTGTTGCAATCAATCTCGAGTTTCGTTATTAATTGTGATGCGAATAAGGTGACAGAAGTCAAGAAAAATTCCATACCATTGTGTTACTATCACCAGCGGTTTGGCAGCGAGGCAAGATCGTGTCTTAAGCCCTGTGGATATACTGACTAGAGAGATCCTTTGTTATTTGGCTGGAGTCCGAGATTCGCAATGTTGCAAGAACCGCTACAAATAGGAAACTAAAGAATTAGGCGATGTGAGCAATATTTTCTTGCTGCGTGCCTCCTTTTGACACTAACGGAAAAAGTTTATTTCATCGCATTTATTTAGTTTGTGTTCATCTAAATGTTACAAAATACGTGTAAGTACTTAATTAATAAATTGTTTTAATATAATATACCTACTTTTTTATTTAGGCCCCCAATGTTAAGTTCCTCTTCCTTAGAAAGTCCTTTCTTAGAAAATATTTAACTTTTATTTAATGTTATTAATAATTACGAAGATTTAGGAATAAAAATGCGATTTAAACTGTTAAATAACCATTTTACATAGCTTATCACAATAAAAAATTATAGCAACAAATAAAAGTTTATTGGGTACATATTTTCTAACGCCCTTATAAGATCTAGTATATAGTCTAGTATAGTAATAATGATTATAAAAATATAATATATTTATCTAATATAATATATTATAAAAATATAATATATATCCCGTAATAACATATTTATTTCTAATATACCTACATAGTGTGTGATTTTAAAATCCCTTTTTTGGTACCGAAAGTTACCTACTTAACTTATAATTATTAGTTCATTTGAAAACTAATATTGTGCCACTATAGGTTTGTTTCCTTAATTATCAACAATCTTTTATATGGAAGGTAAGAGGTGCTAGAGTACAGCTGTCAGTCGCAGCACAAGCGATGGCTATCCGGGTAGATGCTGTTCTTCGTCGACGTTTACATTCTAATACCCTGAAATTGGAAGATTTGAAGTGGCAACGAGAGGAGGTAACCTAATTAGATTATACTCAAGGCTAATCCTTCATAAATTTTGTAATTCATGAATGTTTGTAACTCTTACACGCTAAAATTGCTTCGGTAATTATGATTTTTACCTACTTGTGCATATACATTATCAACATCGCGAAACAAACCGTATCTGGACGGAAGAGTATAAAAGAGCGTGATTTTTTCATGCCATTGAAATCCTACATATAGCCAAAGTCAGAGGTCAAGATAGAGATAGATTTATCGATCATATTTTATTTATGAAGTAGGCTTCATGTAAGAAAGAAAGAACATTACATAAATACGGAATCGTTAAGAAAAATCTATTTAATTCGGTCTATTAAAAAGGACTTTACACAAAGATTTGAAAATTATTTTTGTAATATCTTCTTGGCGGTAAAATTATAATTTCAGGCAACCCGTGACCTCAAATCCCTACAAGAAGAGCAAACGTATTCAGAGCAGAACCTTCTAGAAGTAATGGATCAAGAGAGGGTTGTAGCAGCTAGATTGTCTGATCGTGCAAAGAAACCGAGCCGTGAACTTATAAAGGACGAAGTGAATAGGAAATTGAGAAATGAATTGGGTCAAATAAGACGATTTGCTAAAGAACTCACAAACAATATCGAAAGAATTTTGTAAGATTATTAATAATTTGTGTAGTAGTAATACGTTGAATCAGTAACTAAAGACGCCAAAGGGATCGATTATACTAAATACTTATGTCTGGGTGAGTCGATAAATATAAGTATACTCTTTATATAAGTTTTGGTATAAGCAATAAGTACTGTATAATACTTAGGAACAGGATAGAAAGCTATACTATTATGTAAATCTATAAAACATCATTTTTGATTCAAAGTATACATACAATATACTACCCAACAGTAACAAAAGACAGCCTCTATAACATGGTTACCTATGAATGGGGTACTCCGGTTCAATTCCCCTAAAAAACAAACAGTTTCCGTCCGGCATTTTTATCATCACATACATAACGTAACGTCAATTAATAAAATAGACACAGATATCTCTTTCTGCCTCATGCCTTACGTAAAAAATAGCATTCTAATTTTATGTAAAACTTGCAGGTCGCTTCAAAACGCTGTATCGAGCTCAATAACAAAAATAGACTGCACTACAGACGATCTATCTCAAATTCTCTTCCTGGATGAAGCACGACTGCGGTGTAGGTCCGGGGAAGTGCCTAGCACATCAAGTTCCAGTTCTAGAAATAGTAGACCACAGCCGTCAGACCATCTCACTGTTATACAAGAGGAAAATGAAGACGACTACCCATTCGATTTTTAATACTTTATTTTTATATGTAAATGTATAAAGTTAATTCATATCTTAGCTTACAATTTACTTGTTAGTGTCACATGTTGCATTGAAAACTACTTAATAAAATTATAAAGAATTTTTTTTTCTTAATATAGTATAAATATCAGAATAATCTATCTACTTCATTAATAAAATATGATCTATACATAAGATCGGCTATAATTTAGATCGAGCTTAAATTGTTACATTGTTTAAAATGTGTAAACAATTTAAATAAAACACTTAACAGGTTAAAAACGCGATATATTAGTTAAACTTTATTGATTTGGATTGTGATTGTGGCCTATCTTACATCAGCCAAATAAAGCGTAGCGTCTCAAACAGAATTAAAGAAACGCGAAGACACCGTTAGTCAATTCTGTAAGGACCCGGCCAGTTTCACCAAATACCAACTTCGACGGAACAGATGGCACTAGCGTAGCAATTTTTACTTTGACGTCAGAGTCGTCCTCCATCTTCAGTCTCCCTATGACCACGGCTGGTGCAAAGCATCCGAAACGTTGGGCCGAAGTTAAAAATCATTTTCAAATAAATTTAATTAACTCACGGTTTCAACCGTTAAAGTGTTTCATTTAAATGTGTACTACACTTGTATACTATAGACAGTATATGTAAACAATATTTCTCCTTATAATATATGCAGTTGCATATTCCTTGCATAGTAGCCTTGGGAGTAAAACTGAATTTCCTGTTATATAGACTTACCCTTACTTCAAATTATTGTAATTTTATGTCCTTTACAGCACCTGTATGTCTCTTCCCCTTAATATGTCGTTCCAAATTATCAACATTGCAAGAAACCTGAGTTTTACATCTGTTACAAGTTGCCTTATCTTCCGTTGTATTTGTAAGATAATTATCAACAGTTATGTCTTGTCCGTCAATCAACCGAACAATTTTGTTTAACTTGATAAAATGGTCCTTATCATCCACATGTTCAAATATTTTCTCTATGTAATTAGCAAAGTACTTCTGGCAGATTTTGCACCACAAGTCCTGATCACTGCCTGCGACAGAGATTATACCATTGAATGGTTGCAGTGCCATTGCTTTGGATCGCTTATGCTTATGGCTATTAATATGATAGTTAATATCTTTAAATGTGAATTGTAGATACTGATCACAAATAGTACAATGAGAATTTGTCCCTAGCTCACTTGGAGCCCACTCTTGTAAAATATTTGATGGCAATTCAATAAATGCCCCATCTTTTTCAACTAAGCTTTGCATCTGGTACAGTTGCTCCTTATGTTTTGACATTTGAATGTGGCTTAGGTCTAAGAAGTCACTATTACAGATTTTACAATAGTTTCCCTGCATATTATTTAGTATCAAGGTTCTTTGAATATAAAACATCTTATGGTTTTCCCCATTTATATGCAGTTCTATAGCTGTGCTGTTGTTTACTAGTGAGATTTTGCATAGTATACATGTTATCGTGTTCTCTATCTCACATATGTCTTCATAGTAGGCCATGTCTGTAAACAATTACGGTCTTAAATTATCTTTTGAAGATAACTAAGCAAAATATTGTATGTACATAATGACATTCTTAAGCAAAGCTAATATGAAAATTACACTTACCGGAGAAATTTTCTTATTGATCTTATAGATTTAGTGCAAACGTATTATCATACGGAGATCAAGCTTCAACAGACCAGGGTAATTCCAAATTTTTTATCAATTTGAGTATCACAAGCTACAGCTGTGGGAATCACTACTGTGTTTTTATTTAACAAACAATCAATGTTTATTTTTAAAATACCTGACATTTCATAGTTGTGGTCAGTTCAGCGAATTTTCTTATTTAGATTTGAATATTAGTCAATGAATAATTAATAAAAAATGTAATTCTTCCGGAAATTTGGGATTTAATAATAAATTTATTATTATGAGCATATTTTTTTAGTTTTCATAATTTGAAGTGGATATTTTCAGTAGAAAATCGATTATCGGCGCACAGTATCGTTTGACTTTGACAATTGACGCATGTACATTTTTGACATTCCCTTTTACAGTCGTTCCATTGGTCATTTTCCTTTGAATATTATTAATCTCATGAGGAATTATTATTGTTATTGATATAAATATTAATAGTTCTATTCGTCTGTTTATTTACGTGTTGGATGATTTAGATGCGCACGTTGTATGGGAAAGGAATAATTGAGTAAATAAAATTGAACAGGCAAGCGAGTATACATTTTTGAAAAATGGCTAATGAAATTGAAGATCCTATATTGCTAAACAGAGCTCATATTCTGCTGGAAAAATTAGCGGTAACATATTTTTTTACAACGCTTTACATTTTTTTGTTTCAATATATATGCACCCTTTATTGGAAATCGATTGATAGAAGTATGGTTGACCTTTGACATATAAATTCAAATAATGAAAACAGATGGTGTTGAAGGATTGATTTGTTATTGTTCTACTGCTTTTTAGATGTTTAGGCCATTCTCTTGTAGTTTGAATGGGAAATCTTACCCGCAATATTATATATAAAGGTGTTATAATTTTATAAGCCTAGTCGTTAAGTAGGTAAAATAAAACTACACTTTTAAATATATGATTAAGCTGATTATTTTTTTATCATTTTCAGTTGGAACTACAAGATTTATACCTATATCGTGATTTGTTTTTTGAAAATCACTCTATTGACATGGCAAAGGATAAACACAAATGCGTTGAAGAGAGGAAGGAGAGTTTATTAAAAAACTTTGAAAGGGTCAATGGTATGTAAAAAATAGTTGCTCTCTTTTTTTCAATACATGGTCTTCAATACAAACAATTTAAGATATAATAATAATAATAAATACTTGCCTAAAAATAATACAAATAAGGGAAACTGACTCCCTCAACATTTACGTTGTAATGACTTTTAAACATTTTTAGTTGAGACACAAATTCCCTTTTCAATGAGAGCCAGATTCTACTACTTAGAAGGACGATGCTATAATGTAAGCATAAAATATGATGCAAGAGCTACACAATGTTTAAGTAAGGCAGTTAAATTGAACCCACATTTGGTAGAAGCGTGGAATGAATTAGGGGAGTGCTATTGGAAGAATATTAATGTTAAGGAGGCAAAAGCTTGCTTTGAAGGTGCTTTGAAACATGTAAGTTGTGAAGTATTGTTAAGTAGCCTAAGTTTAACAACATACAGTATTAAAATTTTTTCAAAAATTTTGCAAACCTGCCCAAACTGCCTCATGCCCCATATACTTAAATATAATGTTCTTTTTAGGAACGCAATAGGATAACACTGCGGTGTCTCTCCATTATATTACGACAAGAAGCTGCTACAAAAAAGGAGGGTGATGCAACACAAATGATCCTCAAAAGTGTTGAATTCGCCAAAGAGGCTGTCTCTCAGGACACTAAGGATGGACAGTCATGGATAATACTTGGAAACTCATACTTATGCCAATATTTCACTGTGCTACAAGATCCGGCTATTTTGAAGCAATGCATGAGTGCATACAGACAAGCATACATGGACCCAGTGGCGAGAGGACAGCCAGATCTCTATTATAATAAAGCTATTGTAAGTGTATTAATGAAAAATTCAGAGAAAATGCTTACTGTGCGTTTTTATTATATTGTATGTTTTTTTTTATTCTTTTGTATTGTAACTATTAAAGTGCTTTTGAAGGTTTCAACAATACTATTTAAAAAGTTGGGCTGAATTTTATAGTTTTAAGCACAAAAAGGAAAAAAAACTTTTTTTAAGTCTTGAAAGAAATTATATAATATACATTTTTTTATAATGCTTACCTCTTTTGCTTCCAGGCCTTGAAATATGATGAAAAATACAGTGAAGCCATAGAAACATTTGACCAGGCGTGCAGGCTGGACCCGCTGTGGATGCCCCCAGACCGTGAACGTACTAAGCTCAGGCAGTTCTTGGCTAGCGCCGTAGATCTGCTGCGCACGCGCGGGAAGATCAAGTGCAAACGACTTGCTACTATGCTACAGGTAAGATTTTTTATAATAGTGTATTATTAATCTACATTATTATGTAGTGTCTATATCAGAATAATGTTGAATAAATAGTAGCAATGTAGGACTAATTATCAACACAAATAATGAACAATATACATATTTCTAATCAATTTATAATTTTTTTGGCACATGTGGAGACGTCTGGAATTCTGGGTGGTAGAAATAGAAATTAACCGTCTACTATTATAAAAAATAATAAATAATGTGTAAAAAAACGGGAAATAACAACACATAATTATATTTTATTCCTGAGACACATTTTTCCATAATCAAACAACATTGTAGAGAAAAATTATCAAGTTGTTAACTAAAAAAAATATTAATTTGTTTCTGTAGCTTTATATTTGGCGAGGTGAATCTAGTTTATTAACATATTTTTTTTGTTCTTACATTATTTTTATTTACAGGCCGTGGATAAAAAAATGCTTGGCGACTATCAGCCCGGGCACATTGTGAGCCTTGGGCCGAAACGCGCCGTTTTGTTGGAACAAGTGCGCATCGACGCTCTACAAGAGGGGTCCAATGAGGGCAAAGTGATTTTGGGACGTGTCGTCGGGTCCATACACAGCGAGAATGCGGTGCCATTGTAAGTTCATATAATTGATTCATCATATGACACGGGTTCGAGGCCTGCGTGTGTCATATATTCTTGAATTGAGATTCAATAAAAACAATAATTGTGGGATTCATTACATTATACTTCTATTTCAGTCTGTGGATTACCAAATGTCTTCTATGACATCTTTAATTCTCAGTAGTTTAGTTTAAACGCGAAATACATTAAAGGTTAACTTATTTTTTTTTATTTGGCTCGGCATGTCTGATCGTACCTAATTTTTATAAGGAGTAAGCAACCGCTATTTTCACGTTTTAAACCGTTTAGTATTTTTTTGTCAAACAACTCGCGACATACAACATTATTTATCTTAGTTTAAAGTAAAAACTTTTGTTTGGTAGGTGTGAAAACGAGTGGACCTTCTAAGGCATTTTTACCTTGATACTGATGCGAATCTTTCCTCCTCTGTTATTAAGTATAACCCTGTAAATTTACTTTAAATACAAATTCCAGCGCCTTCGCCATTATAGACGAGAGCATGAAGTGCATGATAGTCACCGCATACAACTGGGCAGCCGGGAGGGGCACCCTCATAGGCGACTGGGTCGCTATACCCGAGCCCCAGGTCAGCTCGCACCACGTGGTCACACCCGAAATGGTAAGTACATAACCTCACCCTGTCTATAATATTGTTCTTCATTCCTAAGAGTTTATTATATACAATATAGTTGCTGGTCTATGTAAGTAGTTATTTTGGTTTATTATGTTGATAAGTAAGCGGACATTTTTGTTTAAATATTTTAATGTGCTTTTATAATTCTGATATCAATAGATTTTTTTTACCGCAACCGTTCACATACTCGTTTATATAAAAGGAAATATGAAAATATTATATATAAAAAAAACCTCGTCGTTATCAGAAAGAAAAAGGGTACTTTGTTGTTTCATACTAGGGAGTTGTATAAATCCCAAATATGACACCAGATGTCGCTGCGCGCCGGTCGCGTTTCCCCTACTGAAACGCGCTATAAGAGTCGTCCCTGCACCAATATAGGCCCTCGGTTGCTCCTAGCTAAGCTATCGCTTCTCGGCCTTTTGGCTAAGATCAAAGTGTAGTATCTGTTCTTTTCAGCTTAATATCTGAAAGTTCCCGCATCGCGGGACCAGTATATTAAACTGATTTTTGGAAGCTGACGGGATGCTCGGGGCTCGCTCCACTCCTGTCGCGGGTCGGCCCGGCATTGCAGTGCCGCCGGGATCGGCCTAATAAATCTTTATTAAATTGTGTATAGCATCGATTATTATTCCCCTCAAAAAAAAAAAAAAAAAAAAAAAAAAAAAAAAAAAAAAAAAATTAAAATATGGGGTTTTTTAAAAAAAAAAAAAAAAAAAAAATTAATATTATTAATTTTTGGGAAAAAAAAAAAAAAAAAAAAAAATTAAAAATTTAAAAAAAAAAAAAAAAAAAAAAAAAAATTTTTTATTTTGATACCTTCCCCTTTGTGAACTGCGAAAAACAAAAAAAAATATGTACAAAATCTCTTTAAATTATTTTAAAAAATGTCCGCAACGATATATGTCGTCTATATATTTTGATCAAAGAAAGATTTTATTATTTAGATCAAATTTATTCGAAATTAATACATTATTACCATTTCTTAGATTTTAAAAAAAATTATTTTGCTGGATCAGCTAGATATATATATTTATCTTTAACCATAGTAATACCTTCTGAATCCTTTTAATTGAAATAGTTGTATTATTATTGTTGTATAAACGAATAAGCATCGTATGTTCTTATAAAATATTTTCAGACATACACATTTAAGTCAATCCGCATCAACAACCCGATGACCCTATACGTGAATGGACGTCGCGTAGAACGGGGACAAGTAGCAGCCACGCGGGTGTCCAGCACGTACGAGATGCACTGACGTCTTAGCTCTCTTTCTTTGGAAGAGACTCCTATCTAAGTGTGACAGAGACAGTTATATGGTAACTGTTTCTGCTTTAAGGACTGAAATGCTAGAGGTTTACTAATGGATGAACCAGTGTCAAATAAATGTTTTTTTTAATGATAGAGACTAACATCGCACGGGGTTCACTTGATGGTAGGTGATATATCCCAGCCTATGGCATCTGAACATGATGCGCTGTCGACCCATTTTGGCTTTGGATATTCGGAAATCCACAGACTGAAAACGTAACGCATCTAAGCTTCACGGCTTTTCAATCTGTGGACAGTGGTTCGTGGCTCTGACGGAATTTCCATATTTCTACCGCCAGCATATTTCAGAAAAATTGTAAATTGAAAAATTAGGAACATGTTGGACGCGGTGGGGATTGATCCCACGAGTCCGTCAAAAAACTGTAAAAGAATGTCTGTTTCTCCTTCTTGTAGTAATATATAGTGTCTAGAACTGTATTAATATATAATTATTGGTAACATAAACCACAATTTATAAGAAAACCTTGTAAATGTTTTTGAAAAAAATAATTAGATATACGTATTTGTTTATAAAATATGTGTCAATTCATTCGATCTTTTGTAGATTTTATAACTGTTTACCAGCAACATAGGGCATAAAAAGACAGGTGATTGTAGTAACGGTTTATATTCATTTGAATAAAACACTTTAACGGTTTAAAACGCGAAATATATTATTTAAACTTTGCAGCTGTGGTCACGGGGAGACGGTAAACTGACGGAGGGTGTCTTTAATCACCAATGTAAAGCACCCGAATACAGGTAAAAATAATTTTCAAATAAGTTTAACTAATGTTTTTTGCGTTTTAAACCGTTAAAGTGTTTTATTCAAAGGTTTATATTTATATTAAATTGGAGACAAAGAAATATAATATGTCTTAGCTCAATAATATCTCAAGCCTTTTATTTAAATATATATATATATCTTATGACATAGAATTTTAATAAATAATTATGTAAGGTTGTTACAGCTCTTTGGCAAAGTATTCTCGAGCTGTTCGGTTGTAATCATCATCTCGAGTGGATGATCAGGTGATGACTAAGCGAAGTCTAAACTAAGGAAATTGAGGTTTTGGAGAACATTTTTTCAATAACAACGACCAAACAGCTCGAAAAGCCGTGCTTTATATTTATTGATGTTCTCTGTGGATATCTGTGTAATATTGTAGTGACGTAATCTATTTATCGAGATCGTATATAGAATAGATACAAATAAAACAAATTCACCGATTTAAAACGCGGTATATTAATTGTAATAGACTCAAAATGGTTTAAAAGTATCGGATACATGGTTTCAAACCGTTTTAAACCGGTGAAATTGCTTTTTAAATGATGTCTCAAACGTATTACTGAAAGCCTAAACTACTAGTTCTATCCCAAATATTTATTTAATGGAAATGAGTGTTGTGTGAGCAATATCGATACATATACATTTTAGATTAAATTGTCTGTCTATAGAGAGAATGGGGAAAGCGAAGCAAGATCTCGATGGCTTGTATTATACGGGGACAGGGTAAGGTTAGTTTAAAGCCAGGGTATTCCTCTAATTACTATTTGACTAAGCGAGGCAGACCTATGATAAATTTATACTGGCCTAATATAAATTGTTAGATTTTTCTTTGGCTTATTTTCCACGTCGGTTTTTTGTGAAAGAACAGGACAGACAAGCATGAAGTTTACTCTAAGAAGGTAAAATATCCCAGCCATATAACACGTCTACAAAATGTGCTAGCCGACCTATTTTGGCTACGGGTATTCAGAAATCCACAAACAGACAGAAACGAATAAGTTCATGGCTTTTTGCATCGGTGGATAGAGGTCAAGGAAGTTATTAATAGTTTCCTATAGTGAATAATACTCTATTAGTTATTTAAAAACGTATACAAGTTACATTTCGAATAACCTGGCATGAAAGTTGGTGTTTTTAAATCAAAGTATCCTAGATGTTGTCGACTTTTATAAAGCTTTTATTAATTAATTATTTTCTATGTTAAACCTTTTCAAACGTACAATAATACACAAATTTTATTTAGATCTCTATTAATTGTATTTGACAGTTAGTTATTTAATTGTTTGTATTCAAAAATCAATATATCGCTGACTAAGGAAGCGTGCAGAGGACAAATATTAAAAAAAACATTCGAATAGTGGCATAGGTAATATAATATTTTTCGCGTTTTAAACCGTTAAATATTGTACACGACAAAAAATAAATTAGTTTTTCGTTTATGTCTTGTTTGTACGTTTCCTAAGCCACATGGAATTGTTTATTGTGCCAAACTATGCAAATATTTAATACCACGCATATCAAAAATTTGTATCTAGCACAATATTACGTTTTTTTGTATATTTATACCCAAAATGTACCGTGTGTATTTCTGAAATACTAAAAATATAAATAAAAGATATTGATGTAAAATAAGCATTTTTTTTAGCAAATACTGTACGTACTATCAAGGTACCTATTGATCTTATATTTTCTTCGATTTCAGGTTTTTAGTAATATGATTTTTTTTTAATTTTCATACCTATAACAAAAACAAAACAAACAAAAATCACACGATCCTAAATTAAAATGAAGGAAATGCCGACGATGGCATGTTGTGGCTTATAACAGCTTGCAAGTGGGGTAGGGGTAACGGTATGAGGTACACTGGTATAAAAAAATATCTAAATTGGACATTGTTCGAAATACTCCTTAAGTACAACTGTTTGTTCAATTAAATGGGTTTTATATAAAAAAATAGGAAACTTAATAACTAGAAACGCTGCATTATATAGCTAATAGGTTTGTTTTTGGGCTGAAATGCCATTTTGAGCAAATATTCATAAAAATATTTACTAATTTAGCATTAAAATACATATGATATAAAAACCATTTATCGATATTTAAATAAAAAACTTTTAACGGGTTAAAACGCGAAAGGCATTTGTTAAACTTTTTTAAAAATAACTTATCTACGGCCTGATGTTTCAGATGCTTTGGAATAATTCGTAAATAAGTATGACTAATACTTTTTGTGTTTGAAACCGTTCAAAGTGTTTTATTCAAATGTGTACTACTCGCGTAAACTACAGACACTACTTGATTACTGATAGTTAAATAGATGTATGAGTTTTAATAGTCAACAACAACTTCCTTGTGTTCTTCTTACTCCTGAGAGACTTGAGGGGAATCACCTCTTTTGAAGACAGATGTAATGTACCAACATCTTAGGCATTCACCTCCCAAAGTTTTAAATCATTTTCCACTACCTCCGCGAATTTATCGCTCATTTGTTTGTCTTTAAACAATGGTTTTAATGTCTTCAAATTAAGACTTAATAACGCCCCAGTGTCCAACATTTCATTCAATTTGAATGCTAGATTCCTGTTGTAATGTAGTCTTAAAAGACTAGGTCTAGAAAATAAATATTGACTGTCTCTTAAATTATTTCGCGCCCATTTTTCCACTGTCTTGTTGCCGCTTGCTATCTGCAATCAATAATAATGCAAATGACTGTAATGTATTACTAAAACATTAAACCATCTATTCAAATAAAATACTTTTATTGGTTTAAAACGCGAAAGATATTAGTTGACGTTTCGATTGCTTGCAGCCATAGACACACGTTAATATAGTTTGCGTTTTATACCGTTAAATGTGTTTTAACGGTGTAAAACGCAAATGGACGGACAATATTACTCAAAATTTATAAATTAGGCAAAATCGCATACGATATTGGTATTTAAAATGTTTCCCATATCTACTAAAAAACCTTTACACTCAACTACTTACTCTAATATCACCAACTTGTTTCAGAAAGAGGGATGAAAAGTAGAACCTCAAATCAGAGTTTGATCTTCTTCGTTCTCTTAATCTTATAAAGGATTTAAGCGTATTGTACCCACTCCTTTTGTATTTAAATACCTGCAAACATTAACAATTTTCATGATTTTACGAAAACTGGAATTAAAGCCACTATTGGCATACCATCGGACAAGGCCTGGTCTGTCTTTTCGGACAGGGCAAGGGATACTACAGGGATCCCAGATTGATCCACCACTACATTACAACAATCATTTTTTGTTTTCAGAAATACTTGAGTACAGGCTCGCCGAAATGGTAGCAATGTATGACTAATAATCACCGGGACGTAGGTTCGATTTCAGCCGAGTCCTAATCAATTTATAATATTGTTGAAACGATATGTGGTAGAGATACCGAAATTCTATCTAGGTCACGCAACATAGACAAGATGAAAAAGTCGTGAAGTTTAATCTCGTTTCGGTTTCAGTGTTTTCTGTGGACTTCCGAATATCCAAAGCCCGAAAGGAATCGCGTGTCGTTTAGATGTTATATGGCGTATTTTGCCTTTTATCAAGTGAACCATATACATATCTTAAAAAGCAACAAATACATACTTGATAAATAAAATTCCCCGTAACATAAGAGTCAATGTAATGTGTCCCGTAGCTTTTCATAAACCGTCTAATTTCCGTAGAATCGGTTGCGTTTAGCTGGTCAATAGCTCTCTGCACGTAATCTTTGACTTTGACAGTGTCCAGGGTGTTAACTTTGACCCTGTTCTTCACCTTGGTGATCGTGACCAGGACGTAGCAGCAGTCATCTGCCCTCGGGTCGTATTCAATGCCGAAGGCTCTCATGATTTCGTCATTGATCCAATCTCCTAAGAACGCCTTCCAGGGGACGTCTGTACTGGAAGCATCATATATTATTATAAATATGAAATGATCAGTAGTTAAATCGTTAAACGTGTTATAATCCTAGGTTCTAATCCCGGGAAAACAATAGATTGTTTCGCTCGGACAGGGCAACTAGTCTGAACAATCAGTGGGCTGTAAATAAAACCAGTGAAACAGACACAGAAATGTGTTTGCTCCATGCCACACGAGTAGAAAATATTTTTGTTTTATTGTTATGTATGCTTAATTTGTTTGATATCTTTAAATCGTTTTGTATATTCTACATTTTTACGAGTAACAATTTTTCACGGATTTTTAAATCGTGAAGAAAACAAATCATTTTAGGATAAGCTTTGTAGTATAATGTGACGGATATTTGATTAAAAAGATATCATTATTAATACTAAAGATATAGAGATAAGATACTAATAATATCAATTCACTGCAAGTGAGAAATAGGGGAACATTATGTCCATTAAGTAACAAGGTATATGCGCGGTCTTGGGTTAAATCTTAGGTTACTAGCCTACCGGCTCCTGGCGATAAATAAAATTTTAAAGACAAAAATGTAAATACTGTCTATAGTTTACGCGAGTAGTACACATTTAAATAAAACACTCTAACGGTTTAAAACGCGATATATTAGTTAAACTTACTTATTTGGAAATGACTTATATAACTTCGACCCGACGTTTCGGATGCGTTTTAAACCGTTAAAGTGTTTTATTTAAAAGACGAAAATGTACCTACCCCATGCCCCAAATACAGTACACGATGAATTTAAGCGTAGGTTCTCTCTTAAATGAATTTTGCTAAGTAGGAAAGTCATACCCTTCTATGTAAAAGTGCTTGAAATATGCTCGAAGCAGATCCTCAAACGTCTCGCAGATTTGCAGGTTCATGCTAACCATGGTGTCACCAGGTGTCTCTATACTGCTTAAGTTCTCGAAGACTCGGATATTCTTCTCTCGGAACGGTTCAATCGGTTCATAGTTGTCCTCTTCGTAGTCAGCTGACACAACTTGTGTTACTTGAGAGAGGTCACCGTAGCTTAAAAGTGTTAAGAAAAATTTGACATATGCGGGACTGGACCCTGCTTCTCTATTTGCTAATGAAATAGATGATGATGATGATGATAGACGATGCAAAAATAATGAAGGAAATCTAATTTGACATTAAAATTGAAACTTTTGTAACGCGTAATTTTTTTGTCATGTTTAATTAAGTAGGATGCTTTTGTATATAATTTAAAAATCGAAAATAATTAAAAAAAAATTTCGACGCGGGCAAGACTTGTACCTGCATCGTCAGCGTTCCGTGTTGTTGCTCTACCAATTGAGCTACCGAGCCCTGCCGGTTCAAGTCCTGCCCGAGTCGACAATTTTTTCAATTTATTTTCGACTTTTTAATTATATAGTGCCTTCACGTGCAAAAAATATTAAAGTTTTCAAATGTATATGTTGAAAAACGACAGTGGGTTTTATAATGTACGATACAAAATGACACACTTCTCTTAATAAACTTTTCTAGTTAAAATTCAGAATAGAGGGCACCGGTAAATTCAGGGGGAGGGGGTTTATGACCCCCCCTGACTTGGTTCCTTGTGACGCGCTTGTTATTTCTCCTATCCTGATAATCTAATGCCGTGTCCTCGGGAGGATCAGCAGAACATGATGATATTGACAAACCTTTTAAATTTAAAAACAATAACTTTTAAACACGAAATCCTTATCACTTACCATATGTTTGGAAATATGACCTCAACCACGCTCTAATTGAATTAAAACAATTGTTTTATAATAACAATACAATATATTATGTGTAATGACATTTGGTTTAATAATAATGCGCTTAGAGGACGGAATAATAAATGCATAATATTTATGTTATATAAATTTGTTAACTTCCTGCCTTATTATCCGTATGTTTTGAACTACTTACTGATTAGTTTGCTTTAAAATGGAATTGGAAATATTAAAAGGGGGATATAATGCTGGTATAACATTACCGAATAATATTTTGGTAGTCTTTTAAAATGTCTTCCATTTTGCTTAGAATCAAAATACTTATATGAAAATACTGTCTATGGTTTACGCGAGTAGTACACATATAATAAAACACTTTAACGCCAGGGGAAAATAATGTCTCCACGTGACCACGGCTGCTGCAAAGCATCCGAAACGTCGGGCCGAAGTTAAAATCATTTTCAAATAAGTTTAACTAATATATCACGTTTAAAACCGTTAAAGTGTTTTTTCCTGCCCAAAAAATGTTAGAGGCTATAGCTGAACAATGTAAATATGTTATATGTTTATTGGTTATTTGTTTATACATGAAGAATGATACAACGAATTTTAACACATTATTTCCAAGAGTATATTTTTAAAATGATAATAAATAAAACCGACTTTGGGGTAAATTTTTCTACTTGTAAGACCCGTGCACAAACAAGAAAGCACTGAACTAAATATGTCTTTATACGATAGACAGTCTTTGTAGCTTAACAAATCTAAGGCATTGGTTGTAACCCGAGAGGTTCTACGTTCGAATCCCGATCAAACAAGAATATTTTAAGTCATGAAACGAAGTTTAATCTGCAAATAAAACAGATCAGCGAAACAGACGCGGAAATGCATAAGCTATGAAGCGGGAAATTGCGATTCTCTATAAAAGTCGTATTTAAACTCATTACAATAGTTATCAAAGTGGACTAGTACTCACTTCGCAAACACATCTATCGCGTGACCAATATTAAGACTATATCCCAAATCCTCCTCGCTGTCACACACACCACAACACACAAACACAACTAGTAAAACTAGAAACATTATAACAAACAAAATTAGACGATGACGCCGCGAGACGGCGCTGCTGTAACTGAGATTTTTTAACATTTCGCTAAAGTGTAAGAGTAAACATATTGTGAACTTGACCCGCAGATTAGACCCGTATCGTTATGAACTAGTGCGATTATTCCGATCCTCTCTTTAATATAATTATCTATAATCTGTACTAATATATAAAGCTGAAGAGTTTGTTTGTTTGAATCTCAGGAAGTAATTGCTCGAAGTGAAAATTTATTTTTGTGGTCGATAGACTATTTAACGAGGAAGGCTTTAAAATTACACTGTGACTAATAGGAGCGAAGACGCAATGGAAAATGTGGAATAAACTAGGAAATTATGCATCTCTGTGGGTTTACAAGGCACAGGCTGCGAAAACGGTTCAACATACCTACTCAAAAAATATGTATGAAAGAATAATTTCTCTTTAAAAATAATTGATCTAAAAAAAAGGCGACGCTATATGTCTATTTTTTAAGATTAACTTGCAAGAACGACGAGAAGGGACGCGACCGACGTCGTGGGTAGCAGCTTAAAGAGAAGGTCTACAAAATGGATGTCTGGATAACCAAAATAACAATTTTACGCGGACGAAGTTACTGACACAGCTAGGATATATATTAAGAATCACGAAAGCCTGGCGCCTGTGGAATCTTGAATGAGTAAAGAGGATATGTATTAGAATTTACTTAATTTGTATCATATAAAAAAAACGGGACTTATATATATTAAAATGGAGTGCAATGTGCAACCTTATCTGACTAGCTATCTCTTCCAGGCAACCTAAAATAAGGGAAAACGATATTTTAAGGTTGGGCGAAACGAAATATGCTATTGTTTTTTCTGTAATTTAAGCGAGTAGTACGCATTTAAATAAATCACGTCTAACGGTTTAAAACGCGAAATATAGTAACTTTGCAAATGAAAAATTTTTAATTTGCAAGGCCAAGTCATCCAAAACTCGAGCCGTTGTTGAATAAATTTAATTGATGTGTTTTATATAGAATAGAATTTTGATCGAATTTATGAAATTTATAAAGAATTGAATCATTACAAAATTACTGCACATCCATGCCTTGATTAAATAATGTCCATCCTGTATGCACCGAGGCCTTGACTATTTCTGTATACAAGGAATATTACCTAATAGTGAATACTTTTAAAACTATTACATATAGGTTGAAGAAATTCGACGATGACGTAAAGTACACGGTAGCCCAATTGGTTAGAGAAGTAGCGCGGAACGCCACGGATGCCGATTCAAGTCCCGCCCGTGTCGTTTGTTTTTCGATCTTAATAGATATTTTATTTTAACCATTTTGACTAAACTCGTGTTGAATGCTACTTGTATCATTTTGGTTATCATGTCCACCTATTAATGATCACTCTATACAGGTTTCCTCTCGCATAGGCTAGGGTTCTAAGACCCACCATGTTTGTCTTATGCTGATTGGCGGGTTACATCCCGAAAGACTACCACTAAATCATTGCTGATAACCAGAACCGACGACTAAACGTGCTCTCAAGAGAACGGGGTGATACCACCACCTACATTGGTATACATGGTATTAAAGAAAGGCAGCAAGATTCAAACCTGGGAATTAATAATTTGCATTACGAATGTACTAACCAATTAGTAGCATGCGTCCCCTTTTATTCTTACGTGATAGCCAAACGCTATTACGTAAGAATAAAAACGATTTCCGAAATATTATTTTATTACGATCACAAAGAAAAATGTGCATATTTGTCACATTGTATATAAATGTTATTTTAACTGACTTCTTTTTTTATTTATCACTAGATTTGCCTTGCGGTATTATGTAATGTTAACTATGGTTTATGTATCTTTTAATCCAGGGTGGCAACTACCTGTATACAAAATTTTATCAAAATGGTTCCACCGTTAGAGCTTGAAGATGTAACACCGACAAAATATGATTGCTACAATAAGGGGTACGCAGGTTTGAAGATTATATGAAGTGGTACTAGTACAATTATGACGATTCAAGGTTTGATCTTCGCCTATCGACCCGATAATATGTTCTAGTTTTATAAAAAGTGACAAAATTCAAGGTTTTCCGTCGACCACGACTGACACGTTTCGCGATAACCTATGAACCCGTGTATCTTAATCGTGTAATTTTGAATAGACACATACTTATGTCTAAACATGTAATAGAGACATATTAAGTAAATAAATATAGTAATATATATACTACAACTAAGGCAGGATATGTTACTTCGGTATTTGATTTTTTTTGCACAATATCTATTTAAAAGTGTTGTCTGGCATTGAGTTAAGCACGAGAGATTCTGGGTTCGAATACCGCGGAAACAATAGATTGTTTCTGTCGGGAAGGGTTCTTTGTCTCATTTGACTGGGAACAAGGAAACTTTAAGTCATTGAGTACGAAAAAAAGGAGGTTCTCAATTATGTTTATATTGTAAATTTATTATTTTAATGTTTTTTTCGAAATTAGATATCACCAACGTTGTCCTTAGCTTAGTCGAAATACGTATTATTGTGTGCGAAGTAAATTTATTATTTGCTTATAGTAAACTGGTTGAAGTCGGTTATTTTTTTGTAAGAATTATTTTATTCAAATGCAACAGTTATAAGCAATGCGCGATGCAGTTAATTAAGTCTGTAATGCAGTTTTCGTGTTCGTAATTTGTTATTTCGTCTATAGTCACGTAAAGTAGTACTAATAAACAATTACTTAGCCTGTCCGTATGCGTGTTTGTTAATTCTAATCTTATAATTGCACTCCAACCTACTTCGTTATGAGAATACATTAGTTGACGTTTTATAATGTGTAGTACCCTGTTGACTCCCTTGTGGGACACCTATGTATTTTCTTCTTTTAAACATATGATATCATGTGGTTTTTTTTTCAATCAAACCAAAATCGTCATTATGTTGTCCCAACAAGAACGCAGAGCCTCATTCTTTGTTGGTTCCATCGTTAGCCGTTGGGCTTACTTCACCATGATTTTCCTTACTAAGTAAATACGCATGTTAATACTCATCTTTTTACTCGCCGAACTATAACGATTCATGATGTTTTTCTTGGGATTCGAATACAGGATCGCCCTTAACGTAATTCTCGCATTTTTGTACCACAGCCCCATAGTTAAAATATTTCGCCATAATTTTCCCACAGTTGCAAAGGAAATATTTGCGGAATGCAGCTCAAAAATGTCTAAGTTGAACGACACACTATCAGCGACACGCGGGTTTGCTTTGTGATAATATCCACTAGTCTATGATTCAATGGCCCCATTTCGGCTGATAAGCCGTAGATCACTCGCGGATGTTAGCAAATGTAGTTTCTTTGCAATAAACAATATTAGATCTCATTCTAACAGAACACAAATTATATCGTATCGTCACTAGTTAAGAAGTGATGTTTTTGAGATTGTCACTAGTGTGTCGTCACAAATTTAGCAATTCAAAAAATCTTTAAAACCACGCAATGGACTTTGATGCCTTCTTTTTTTAATAGATCTATCTATTAAAAATAAGTATCTCTATCTAATAAATTCATGAAGAACAACGTTCACAGTTTCTCTGTAGTGTATTTAGTATTAGCGTTGCACTCGAGCGAAGCTGGGCGGGTCGCTAGTTGTCAATATTTATAATTAATAATATAAGTTTATTAACAAGTACAAAACGACTCTAAACCTCGACGCCAAACATCTCATCACAGCCTGCCCGAAGCCACCTAAAATGTACGGGTTACCTAAAATTCATAAATTAAACAATCCCTTACGTCCAATAGTTAGTCAAATCGATTCGCCCACTTATAAACTAGCAAAACACTTATCCAGAACACTTGCCCCCCTCAGGGGAAATACAAATGCTCACGTCAGGGATTCGTATCAGTTTGTAGAAACTATTAAAGGTCTAAAGGTAGCGGACAATGAGGTTATGGTAAGCTTTGACATCACATCACTCTTTACAAACTTACCTATAGCTGATTGTATCAAAATTATTAAGAGCAAACTTATTAAACACAACATGCCTATAGAATATGCGGATATCTTAGAACATTGCTTGACATCCGGGTACCTACTTTGGAATGGGGATTTCTATGTTCAGGTAGATGGGGTAGCCATGGGTTCTCCAGTTTCACCCTTAGTTGCTGACATTTTTATGGAAGACTTTGAGGAGAGAGCCCTTGCTTCTTCCCCGGTTAAACCTAAGCTTTACAAGCGATACGTAGATGATACCTTCACCATCTTACCCAAAGCACAAGTATCTGCATTTCTTACACACCTTAACTCAATTCACAATAACATTAAGTTTACAATGGAACAGGAGGACAATAACACACTACCTTTCTTAGACATCTTAGTAATTCGTGATGAACACGGTAATATTGGGCATACCGTCTTTAGAAAAACAACCCATACAGATAGGTATTTGAACGGTGACTCACATCACCACCCCAGCCAACTTAGTTCTGTCGGAGTATCTTTGTTTCAGAGAGCCCGCCGTCTCTGTGATGCTGCCCACTTAAATGAGGAGTTACAGCATGTCAAGCAGGTCCTATGCAAGAACAAGCTGAGAGTCCCTCCGCAGCATCCCAGGAACAGGAACAAGCCACCCACAGTCAAACGTCAGCCCGCCTACCTACCATATGTGAAGGGAGTTACAGATAGAATTAGCAGAGTCCTAAATCGAGCTTCTATTGACACAATTTTCAAGCCGCACAAGAAGATTCAGCAATTCCTGAAACCAAGCAAGTGTACTATCCCTTTACAAGATGCAGGCGTTTACAGACTGGATTGTGATTGTGGCCTATCCTACATCGGCCAAACAAAGCGTAGCATCTCAAACAGAATTAAAGAACACGTCGCGGATATAAAACATAAACGTCTCTCCAAATCTGCGGTATGCCAACACTCATCAGAAGGGCCCAATCACTACATTCGCTTTGACCAACCAAAAATCCTCGCAAAGGAGAGTCGATTTTTTCCAAGATTGGTACGCGAAGCAATTGAAATCAAAAAACACCGAAATTTCAATAGGGAGGACGGCCTCAAACTATCAAACACCTGGGATCCCATATTAAAAACTCTGAATCCCAATAAACAGCATACCAGCAAACGCGAAGACACCGTTAGTCAATTCTGTAAGGACCCGGCCAGTTTCGCCAAATACCAACTTCGACGGAACAGATGGCGCTAGCGTAGCAATTCTTTACTTTGACGTCTGAGACATCCTCCATCTTTAGTCTCCCCGTGACCACGGCTGCTGCAAAGCATCCGAAACGTCGGGCCGAAGTTAAAAATAATTTTCAAATAAGTTTAACTAATATATCGCGTTTTAAACCGTTAAAGTGTTTTATTTAAACAATGTAATTTTTTTAATGGTTAGAACCTTCTTTAAAAGGGAGGTAACTCATAGATGGGTTCTCCGTTCGATTCCCAGCTGAAAACAATAAGGACAAGTTTGTTAACTGACTTATTAAGATTATGTATTAATGGTCCTGGATTTTTATATATATCAGAAACTATTTCTAATTTGATATGGAAGTGAGGATTAAAATTATCTTTACATTATAAAATATGTTTTAATCTTATTATAATATTTACATCATATAATCATAGCTTATAATAATTAAAATATTGTAAATGCAGTATTACATTTGATCCCGTATTTTATATATAAATCAAAATTAGACTTTAATTGTAAAATAATTCTGTTATTTTTTTCAGGAATTTTTAAATATGATATTTTGCTTTTGGCTATGGACGAAATATTTTCCTACAATAATTGTTTGAGATGTCATGATTACAAAATTAGAGGTCTAAATTACACTATTTTATAGATAACGTATTATCTGAATAAATACATAATATATGTTTAAACCTGCGCTACGTTTTAGTTTGACGACATCTGTAATGATCTACAAGAATTTACGATTACTTTGCAAAAATGCTCCTAGATGGCGCTATAATAAATATAAAAAATACTTGGCAGTTTAAGGCACATGTATGTCTACATATACTTATTTATAAATATACTATGCTGGTATATATAAAATCTCAAAAAATATATTGTATATCGGTAATAAAACGGACGAATATAACATTTCTTTGTACTTAACACTGGTGATAAGAAAATTAAGATTAAACATAAAAATAAATATTGATCAATCACAGAAATATAGCATTCTCTCATAGAATCAATTTTTAACTAAAAAACTCCTTCATAACATTATACCTAAAAGAATGACGGATCGAATTGAGACTTAAATCCTAGTATAGTTAAATCTAAGTTAAATTTAAAATAAAGTTTTACTTTAAAACTGTGGTTTTAAAGTTGTTTGGGTTCATGACTTTTTTTTCTGTGGACGGTGGTTCCTATTTAATGTTCAGATTCTTCATCTAATTTCGATCCATCACCCTCAAATTAGCTATCACATATTACTCTCCCACAATTTCAAATAATTGTCTATAACTTCTTCGAACCATTGTCTCTTTTGTACGTCTTTGAACGCAGGCGATAACGTCTTTAATTCTAATTGTAATAAGGCTTCGTTTCCTAGTAATGTGTCTAGATTTCTTAATAGCGCCGGTTCTCCGTGCAATTTTAGAAGACTTGGGTACGAGAAAATGTAGTAGTGTACCCTTAGGCGCTTCATTGCCCAGCTTTCAACGGTTTTATTTCCGCTCGCTACCTGTAAAATACACGGATTCAATTAAAACGAATCTAAAAAACGATCTAGCCTTTAAGATGTCTATACGTAGGCTACAGACAGTAGGAAATAAGACAGTTTTTAAGGGTTTAAGTGCAAATAATTTTAGTTATTCTAGAAGAAGTATTATTTGAATAATTACTTTTTATATCATGTGAATATAAATGAAAAGATACAAGTGAAAGGGGCTTTCATATAATAATGCAACAAGCATGGAAAATATAATGATCATGTAAAAAAACTGAAAAATGAATGAGTGATGTTTTTCGAAAAATAATGGAGTGACAGTGATCTTTAACTACTTCCATCATTAAAATTTGTATTAATAGTTCTGTTGATCTGAGATGCTTTTTCCGCCCAAAATTTGATTAGACTATAATATTTGTTTTTTCTTAGCACGGCACAGATAATATTACCTTAATTTGGCCAATATGCTTGGCCTGCCAGGGCGAGAAGTACCCTTCCAGCTCTTTGGCAGTTATATCTGCCACGCCCTTGCTTTTAAGTCTCTCTTTGATCATAGAGTATGCGGTTCTAGAGAACACAAACACCTGGAGTGAGAGCATAAACAAGGTTCACGATTTTATTTTTTAAATTTAGTATTATACCTGTTCGGGCGTGCACTCGCGGACAATAAGCTTCTTTTCTTTATTTTCCCCTATTTTTTTGTTTTCCTGTGATTTGAACCCTATTTATAATTATAGGAGTTTAATATCTTTTTAAGTAATTAAGTTCAAAATTTTAATACGACCCTAATCTGGCGAAAATCTTATAAAAAAAAGAGACGTCACGGATTTTGTTTTATAACTCCATCAATAGAATATTTATTTTAAGAAGATGTCAAACACACGAAAGTAGCTTGATAAAAGATAAAATTTCCCAGGCTTATAACTTCGAATTAGCTATCGCAGTCAACTTATATTCGGATTAGATTGCTATAGACTTGTTTGTAGCCAAATTTTTCAATACGAATTACTATGTATGTATTTTTTGTGTATGAAAATGTAACGAGTGCGAAAAAAAAATGCCAATGCGTGCCAATGATAAAGAAAAATAAGAAAAGAAGTTTATGATTATCGAATTGTTGAAAATGTGAAGTGATCATGATGCAGTTCGGTTCTAAAATTGAGTCTATGCGCTGAGCTATGACTATATGGTACCTTTACACCTTTTCTTGAATTTATCTTAATAAATTAAAATTGTACGTGCTAGTTTAAAGAAGAGAGTGTAGTTGCTTTTAAACAGAATATTATTCATAAAACCCTGAACATATTCTCTGTAGATAACAGTTGTAGAGAGTAAAAGTACTTTATCTGTATCATAACTAAGCGCACAGATTCAAAATATGATCCAACCTTCACAGCACCAACGTGCTCGGCGAATAGGGGCGAAAATAAATTGTTCATTTCCGCCGCCGGAATATCAGTTACGCCCTTCGACTTTACGCGCTCTTTGATCCGCGAGTACACGCCGCGGGAGAATACAAATACCTGGGGAGAACTTATACTAATGAGACAATGTACCAAATACTGCCTCCGAACTCATTTGTTAAAGAATTTAAGGCCTAACAGTCCTGGGTTCAAATCCTGAGTTAACAAGTTAACTAATAAAAGCAGAACGATTCAAAACGATCAGTGAAAACATTATTAAATTTTGTCAACGATTTATAATATAAATTTCATAACATTATAAGTAAAATAAAAAAAATGATGTCCAAAATATTTGTCCAATGTTTAAACTTTTATTTATAGTTTACGCTTGTATATTTAAATAAATCACTTTCAATGGTCTAAAAAGCGACATGTGTAAGTTATAAATTACATTTGTCATGCTAATACGCGTTTTAAACAGTTAAATTAAAATTAATTTGTGCTTGTGTATAGCACAATACAAATAGATCATAATCTAACACAAAGATTAAAATCATGTCGATGAGACATAATTTATTAAGACGGTAGTTTCATTATTAACTCGTACGGCCTGAGTCACTTGAAAAGTGATATTACAGTAAAAGCAAAATTATAAGTATGTTTTGTAAAGCGTGTGATTATGTTTGCCAAACACGGTCACGTTACCACCCATGCTAATTCTCACGTGAATTAACACGATTTTCTAAGAAAAGAAATGCTAACGTTTCTAAAGAGATCGTCTGAGTAAAAATTGATATATTGAGTTTACGATTACAGAGCGTTATATGACGCTAATGGACGGAAATAAATACTACAGAGACTGACTGAAAATAAATTGACAAACCATGACTGAAATTTTTGATATTAAGTAGGTTTGGATATATTTTTCTAAAGTCACAACTTTGTTAAACTGAATACAATTTTTGAGTACCTAAGTCATGTAAATGTTAAAAGGGGCTCATTTGTGTAAAGCAATGTATGGCAAATCAACGGGCTGTGGGTTCGATCCCCACCAGGTCCAACATATTTCTAAACAAATTATATTTCTTCTGAAACATGTTGGACTACGTCTGAAAATGTAGATATCAAACAGGTGGTAGGAATATCGAAATTTAGTCCGGGTCACGAACCACCGTCCACAGATAATAAAGCCAAAATAGGGCATCTTGTTTAGATGTTATAAGACTGCGGTGTTTCTGCCATTACGTTTCTACCACTTAATTCTTAATAATGTTTAAGAAGACTACAATAACAGATGTTATGTACACTTTGAAAAGTGGACATCCGTTACAGTCACAGTTCGGAAATTTATTTTATCTACTTTTTCTGTTTGTGACGTAAATAATTAAAACTATCCTCAGTTAGATTTTCGATACAAAAAAGGTCAAAATTTCAGCATCAAAGCAGCATAGTCTGGGCTTCGTTAGATTATGAATAAATAATTATGTAGGTATGTCATGTAACATTAATTTGAGTATCCTGTACATATCTTAAAACATCTTCTATATACCTGATATAATGAATTCCCAGTTATGTAGGAGGCGATATAGTGCGATCCATATTTCCTAATGAAGTCTGCGATGGAGACCGTGTCTCCTATCGTCGTGTCCTGTATTGCGTCAAATACGACGTCCTCAACGGGAATGTTCGGTGGTAAGTCGCTTAACTTCGCCGTTTCGCGATATCTGGAAATGTGGTTTAATTATGTTAATAATTAACGGTCACAAAAGAAATATGCTTCTAATGAACTCGCTTCTTTATAGTTTAACAACTTTTCCATATATTGCACGTTTATTCACATTTACTAAAACATGTGGTTATTATTAATAATACTAGATAATTATTAATAATTTTGCAATTAATTAGATTTACCATAACATATATATTAAACACATAAAATAAAATTTTAAAAAGCAACGCTCTGTTGTGCAACGAATTAAATTGTTTTCCAATTTATTTCCATAACAACTCTCGCGCAACGGAATTTCAAATGTATATCAAACTAAACCTATATTGGTTTTCTTAAAATGTTAAGTTTTATTTAGTCTTACCATAAGACTTAATGAATCTGAGTTAAGTTAGACTTAATAGAATGTACGTAAGAACAAATATACTGTATTACATTTTCAATAAATTGCAGATATAAAGTTATAGATATTCAGCAGACTCCGATAGCTGTAAAAATGAGAAGAACTTACCTTGACACCCTAACGAGGACATAACAATGATCTCCATTGATGAATGAGGAGTTGATGCCGAGGTTTCTAGCCATGATATCGGTGGGCCAGCCAGCCGTGAACGCCCGCCAGGGACGCTCTAATCTGAAATGTGGTAATCTAGAATTATTATAATCCTTTACTGTTTTTTTTCAATACTATAAAGAGTGTTATAAATAATAATGTACGACAAAGATATAAGCTATTTGTAAGAGTGAAAAAAAATGTAATGGCAACACACTAATTTAAGATTTTAAATAAGTGATTTTAACCGGCATCCACAAACTTCCGTGCTGTTGAGCTACCGTGTCCTAAACGTCATTTTTTTTATCAAAATGTAATTTTTTTTTCATGTGCATATTAATAAGGTTTGCCTGGAAGAGAAAGCTCTATAATGTATCAGTAATAAAGTAATATGAGATAAAAAAAAAAAAAAGGGGGGGGGACCCGGAAAAAAAAAAAAAAAAAAGGGCCCTTAACCCCCCCGTCTTGCAGTTAATTTACTATGAAACAGTTTTTTTTACATAATTTTTGTACATAAACAAAGTGGACTCGCCTTTCAAAGCTAAAATCTCTAAAGTAAGCCTGCAACAACTGCTTCAGGTTATCGCAGAATTCCATGTGGAAATCGCCATCGAAAAGTGTCTTCGCGTGCCGCGGCTTCGGCGCCACAGAGAACTTCTCCACGTCGCGAAACACGCTGACTGTGGGCTCCCGAAAGACCCACGTGTCTGTGTCGTTTCTAGGCACCACCCGCATACATATACTAAGGTAGCCATATCTGTTAAAAAATAAGAAATATAAATGAAGCAGACCTCTTATAAAATACCCCCAACTTCCCTTGTGAGGCAAGGTGTGAAAACATTCCTGTATCCGTTACTTAGTTGGAAGCTTAACTTAGTGGTAGCCCGACCAAATCAATTTTTTGTTCGCCTGGGATTAGAAACTGGGACTTGCGCTGAAGGCTAGGTAACATATTTAACCATTTGGCTGTATACAGTGTAGGTAGTCTTAGAATGTACGTACATAATTATATTGAAAGTAAATTAATCGGTATCCCTTCTGGCTTTGTATACTCGTAGTACAATCATGTGTTATGTATATTATAAGAATTAAGTACTCGAACATTTTTCTGTTTAACAAAAAATAATTATTTTATTGTTGCCCATTATTGGGAAATGCATTTTCGCAATTTAAACAAAACTTTAGAAAAATTTATCAAAGCAAGGTATTTTAAAACAAAGAATTCCAAGCGTTTTAGTTTTAAAGCTTAAACAATTTTTAAAGTTGTAGGTTGGTATAACAGGTATCTGAGTTATGGCATTTCAGAAATTAAAAAAAATATTTGGTTGACCAATGTCAAATATCGGTAGTAATGTGGTACAAATATGGCGCTGATACTTGTGCTATTAAGTAACAATTTACTGCATTGTTTCAATAACACAGACAAACAGTAATTAATATATGGAATGCGGTACCCATACTGTAGTGTTTTTAATACTTTTTCAGTGTTTTATATGTGTATCATAGTGTATAACAATTATCAGGCTATTAAATGATAAAGTAGGATTTGTTTTTGTTTTTTCTCTTGGAATAATGCCTATCACAAACAAATTTAAATATCGCTCTAACAATGTTTAATTCAGGCGGTATAACCTATGTCTATTCTAATACTAGCTGACCCGGCAAACGTTGTTGCCATATAAATAATTTTACTAAAATGACTATTAAAAAAAGCTGCACTACCCCTAACATTTAAGGGATGAAAGTAGATGTTGGCCGATTCTAATAGATACCGGCTAAGCACCAAAAAAATCATCAAAATCGGTCAAGCCGTTTCGGGCCTAACGGGAAGGAGTATGGCAACGAAAACTATGACACAAGAATTTTAAATATTATATATAACGCTGAAGAGTTTTTTTGTTTGAACGCGCTAATCTCAGGAACGACTGGTTCGTATTAAAAAATATTTTTGTATTGGTTAAAACATTTATCGAGAGAGGCAATACAACATCAAGCCGGGATTCGAACTTAAGAACTCATGATATGTCGGCAAGTAGGTAGTTTGTTGCTTTATCCTTTGTAACTCAGTAAGGTAATTAATTATGCTAGTACTACAACCGATGGTCTCAATTTGCAATCATTATACTGTATAATTTTAAATATCATTTGTGGTGTTAGCATACCGATGTTATCGGCAAAATGACACAAACAAAGGGTCGTAACGGAATTCTCAGGTGTGACATCGTTTTAGAATTCGATACTTGACCATAATACTTGGCAATTGCTGTATTTACGATGTTGAGTTGAATGGAGAAGCAACTGTTTTGTTTTAAACAAAATAAACCTTTTTCAATGCAATCAACTCCAATAAAGGGTTAATTACTAAACTATATATGCTTTTCTTCAATGTTTGCATCAATAGCATATAAAATTAGGAAATAGATACATAATTGTGTCTAACCCAAAAAAGGGAAGTCTAAACACGTGTCGAGCCCTACTTAAGATAATTAGTAAAGCTAAACTAATATATTTTGCGTTTTAAACCGTTAAAAGTGTTTTATTTCAGTGTGTACTACTCGTGTGTATGTGTGTGGGGGGGGGGGAGTTTAACTTTAATGTATTGGCAAAAAAATACCTTACCTCATAAAAATATTGATGGATTTACCGACCCCTAATTCAGAATCGAGGGGTGCGGCGCGGCAAAGTGCGACCGCCACCAGCAGCACCGCATTCAAGGCGCGCACCATTACATACGCGCTGCGCACGCGCCGCTGTAACAAACAACTTAAATTAACAATAACGAAACATATACATAGTGTCTGCCAAACGCTGACTGGGTGTAAATTTTGAGGAGAACTTGTTAAATATTAAAGGATTAATGATATCTGGATAATAAAGCGTTATTGAAGAATTGAAGTTTATTGACATTTTCATAAAAAAATCTGATGGAGTAAAAGAAACGCACTTGTTAGTGTTAGTAATGTTGTTATATGGAATACAAAATTATTATTATTTTTTTATATTTCTTTAACAATAGTACCTAATACAAAATACGTAACTATAATATTGATTTCAATGAAAATAAAATAAAAAAGTTCTCCACGGCGGGGAATCGAACCCCGGTCTCCCGCGTGACAGGCGGGGATACTGACCACTATACTACCGAGGATTTGAGAAATAAGTTTAAATAGTTAATCTGTAGGTGCAAACTCTTATAATTTATCCATTTAAAATATTTTATTATAATAATATATAATTTAAAAAATATGTAGAAGCAAAAGAGATTACAAATAGAGATTTCGTTCTAAGTACCTAACAATATACTGCTTATATACATTTAGAATTTTGAATAAAAAAGGTAAAAGTAAATAACTCTAATGTAAAATTAAATTTTCTATTATGTGTAGATATTAACCCATTTGCAAAAAAAATAAAAAAGTTTTGTCAGAAGTGGGATTCGAACCCACGCCCTCAGAGAGGACCAGAACAACTCAGACCTGTTGGACAGGCAAGGAATCCCTTGAGTCTGGCGCCTTAGACCGCTCGGCCATCCTGACAGATGAACACTGTGTCGAAATAGCACAAGACATTCTATACAATTTAACTTTTTAATTCGCTCAATAGATGGCGAGAGACACAAATATGTTAATAACATACTTGAAATCTGCGATAAGGTTTTTAAAGCATTTCATCATGTAATATTCACAATTCGGCTCGTCTTTTAAATAGTTGTTTTAGAAATAATTACAGTAGTAGTAGTAGTAGTATTGAAAGAAAACAATAGTTTTAAAAAATGCAGCAAAACACAATTACTATTTAGTGTAGGTTAATAACTAAACACTTACACAAAACATTCGTTACACCCGTAGTTAGTCAACTATAAAATTTAATCCGTAAAATCCTTGACCAAGATTATCTAAAATGCATTAAATCCATCATTACATCCAGTCACCCGTAAAGTTTAGTATTTGAATTTATAATAAGCAATCATTAATCTGTGATTTTTATGACGATCATTAGCTCAACACATCCCATAGCTGGGACTCGTACATTTAAAGATTGACATATAAATATAGTTACTAGCGCCTCACGCCGGCTTCGCGCGGTGCAATGCTGATACTAAATACACTACAGAAAAGCTGTCAACGTTTTATATAAAAACCTTCCTTTTGAATCACTACTATTAATATATAAAAAAAACCGCATCAAACTGTTATAGGTTAAAGACACAAAACAGAAAAGCACTTTGTACATACGAGTTTTTCTACATAAAAATCAAATCGACAATGATGCAACTAACGACCTAAGAATGGAAGTCCGGTGATTATACAAGTAGAACAATTTTTTTATGAAGTGTTAAATTAATATTTCATTTTTATTATTAACTAATATGTAGGCTATTTTTCCAGTTCATATACAGTAATCGATAGCACAGTTTTATTCAAAGGCGTTTGCACCTTTTTTTATATTTTTACTCATTTGTTATGTATATTGATATAGTATAAGATTACAGTTACGAAATAATGAGATTATTTTCGATTATTATTATCATTAGAGCACCCATCAGAATGTTATGACTGCAACACATCAAATTCAAGAGCTCTCAAGAACTGAATTAATGCATTGATATTTCAATTGCAGGTAATGTAGAACTTTATTGTTGATGCATTTCCGTATGAAGAAGAGTACAGAGTAATGATATCAAGCAGATTATTATTTTAAAAGGAATTTAAATTCATATCAATACTTAAGTGATAAAAGAAATTTGACGTATTTAAAATTAATCTAAATGCACTTTTTACGAGTTAAAAAAGTTATTAAAAGATCGAACAATTCCACGTCACAAGTGGAACTCAAATCCACAATACCTATACTATGGCCACGGCTGTGCCTCGATCTGTTGTGGGTTCGAGCAGTTGTAATCGATTTTATAATAGTTTTCAAATTTATATACTTAATATCTCAAAATTTTACAATGTCTAGGGCATGGGGCGATTACCTTTATATGTATTTTTGTGTGTCTCACCTATCGGTTTTTATTTACAGGCAAGTACTTTATTGACTTCTATGGCCTGTCCAAACATTACAAATCTACCGTTTCCCCGGGTTTCGAAGCCAGAACCTTTCACGCTTAACGCCCGTTTCACCATTTAGCTACAGGGGCAGCCAAAATTTAAACAAAATCTCTTTAACTCAAAAGTTGTTTTTGTATAATATTGTTGTTAAACAGTGTAAACTGGGGAGCATAAATTAATACACACAAATTTCAAGTTGTAATTTCCATTTAATTATTAATAATTCACCCACCCTCTGTTCCACTTACAGGTTGTAAATAATCGTAGTGTTTGCTTTTCAGTGTGCAAAGGGGGAGTATTTTTAGACGCGCTTCACTATGACAACAAACTCCTCATACGAAAGTACGGTGCGCAGAAAAATTTTAATCACGTACCTACCAGTGATTAAACAAATTAAATGTATTTTTAATTGTTGTTTATGAAATCTCGCTATTGATGAATTTTATTCTCATAGCCTATTATAGAGATCTATAGACCCTGGATTCGAAACTCGAGGAAAATTATTAAATTTCAGTCAGGCAGAGAATAGAGGTGCGGTCAACTGTAAAAAAACAAACATACATATGTGTATCAAATTCCTCTGTTATGGGAATAATTGTACTGATATTTTTTTTACGTAAGAAAGTGGTTAAACATGATGTCTAACATTGCGGTAAGCGTGAGAGGACGTTCGAATCCCGGAAAACAATAGATGGTATCGGTTGGGCCCTGCCCACAGAAGTCTGATTTACTACTGTAAATAAATACGATCAGTGAAACGGACACAGAAATGTGTGCGCCCCGTGCCCCACCGTAGGACTTGGGATTTTACAACTTTTGCAAGTATGTTATCTATTTTAGAAGGTAAAACGAAAAGTTTTAAGTTTAACTATTGTAATTCTTTAATCACGACTCGTATATCGTAAGTAATTAAGATTTTAATGTAATGTATACTCTCTGAATTATATTGCATATCTAATTTATTAAAAAAAACGTCACGATCCATAAAGATTTAATCAGCAACGTCATTTTGTAATGCATACTAAATCTGGATTCGAAACGCCGACATTCTAGACCCAACTGCGAAACGTCTTAAGAAATATTGACACCGTTTAAAGAGATTTTACCAAATTAAACTTCTCATAAGTCTTGCTGTTGCAGCAATGATTAGCAACGCGAGCCCTCGCCAGCATAGAATGACCATTGTCTGTACTATCTTCTGTGAAATCAATATTTGTAACAGCCTAAGCGAAGTGGCCATGGTGATTGCACTAAAAATGATATTTATAATTACAAGAAATTAAAGTTCGTTTTACCGTGTAATACAAGTGGGAGTGATGGTCTTAGTATTTTAGTCCTAATACCCACTTAGGAGGTCCAGCATTGGGAACAGTTAAAGCTAGATATCTATACTAATATTGTAAGTTGAAAAGTTTGTTTGTTTGAACGCAATAATATCTATAACTACTGAAATTGGTTACAGCAATAATTGAGGAAGGCTTTAGGCTATAAAACGAACGATATAGAAGCGAAAAATAGAGGAAGAATTTAAAAAACAGGGGATAATCTTTGTGGGTTTTCGCTGCGTGTGCTGCAAAAAGGATTCAAGAAATTGAAAAATCATGTATCAACGAATCATTATTTTTTAAATGATCTAAAAAAGTCGGCAACAGTATATGTCATTTTTTAAAAGACGCGTGCATAGCTAGTATTACATATAGGTAATTAATAGGCAAAACGATTTTATTAAAGTCTATTTTGCTGCCACTACTTAGCTTTACCGATGGCGTTAGCACTTAGTTGCTAATTGACATTGATATGAGATGTTTGTTAAGAATATTTACTTTTTACTTCACGATACAATTACATATGTTATGTATAAGTTTTTGTTTCTCGAGGAGTAAATTTTTAATGGAATTACGTGAGGTATACTAAACTTTTTGTCTTGCCGGACAGGATAAATTTATCACGTTCGCCAAATAACGAATCTAAGACTTCACGCCGCAAGCGCGCTATCTATACTAATATTAAAGCTGAAGAGTTTATTTGTTTGAACACGCTAATCTCAGGAACATCGTTAAAATTTGTTTTTGTTGATTGGACCATTTATCGAGTAAGGCTATAAAATTTTACTTGCGGCGCAGGAAGAGGGAAGAAGCAGAGAGAAATGTGGAAAAGAGGGGGGGGGGAAATTATTAATCTTTAAAGGGTTCCATTGGTGCGTTACGAAAACGGTTCAGATACCCCAAAATAATGTATAAACACATATATATACTATTCCTTAAAAAAAGAAATCATTACATGTAAAACTTAACATAGCAAAAAAATTAAAATGCTAGTTCGTTATAACGCCATTAAAATTCACAATAGTTTGCAACTATCTTGAGGCATGCCATATTCAAATGCTTATTTACGTAATGTACCTATTACGACATACGAATAAATATTTTTTCCTTAAACACGTGTTTGACATTAATTTGCATTACATAGTATTTATGTATATGTAACAACATCTGAGTTATGTATTAAGTATGTTTATATCTAAACTAATTGAATTGCAAATGTAGGGAAGCTATTTAAAGGATATAATAGGCGCGGTGCTTGCCACTTACGATGTTTGGAATTGCACGAGTAATATATCGATTAAAATCAAACTGTATGTCTGTAATACTATCTATAGTTTACGTGAGAGTCCGGTCACGGGGAGACCACGGCTGCTGCAAAGCATCCGAAACGTCGGGCCGAAGTTAAAAATCATTTTCAAATAAGTTTTACTAATATATCGCGTTTTAAACCGTTAAAGTGTTTTATTTAAATGTATGTCTGTAATTTTTTTTCTTTTACCCTTTATTAATTTTCACATGTAATTGCACATGACATCATTATTCTCATAAGAAATCTATTGACACGGGAGTTGAAATTGATTCCACAGCGATCCGAAATTCAACGACGACTATAGCGACGATAGCAACAGTACAGCTCCCTGTGGATGCCGGTTCAAGTCCAGCCCGTGTTGTCATTATTTGAAAAAAAAGATACACAATAAAGATAGACAATTGTGTCTATCTTTATTGTGTGATAATCAATAACAATATAAATTGACAATTATAATAAATAAATTTATTAGTGCTTATGTTATCTAAAGCCGAGATCCCATTCGTGTACCTGGGTTCGAACCTCTATTAAACACCTCGTGAAACTACAGCAAATCGCTCTTTAAAGGTCGATCACTAGATGTTGCCGATGTTGCGTACGCGCAACCCCGAGGGAAAAACTTCCCCAAATATTTAAGTTATCGAGTAAAGCCGCGGCTAGAAGCTAGCAAGTAGTAAGTTATATAGGGCATCACAAACGCATTACATTTGTTTACGCGAAACGGCGCATGTTACAATAAGCAACCAATGAACCAAGTCTAATTCCAACCGAGTATGTTAATTACATCTTGGCATGTTGTTTGCACGTGATTCATAGCTTGTTTGTATTATTTACGTTAGTAA